AAGCAAGATGAGGAGGAAAGACGATCTCAATCTTTAGATACTGGAGTAGCATTTCTACACAGGTGTCTTGTGTGAACTTGAGAAACCTCTCTGTGCGTCACTTTCCTCATTTGTGTAATAACTATAAAACCAGCCTTGCTGCATGGTAGGAATCTTAATTAATTACTGATTGTAAAGCAAATTGAGTTTAGGAGATTATAGGTATGCTGCATATTACGAATACACAAGCAATCAAACGTATATGTGAATTTGCTATGGGTGTTTAATTAAGGGTTAGTGTTAGTAGAGCACAGTTTTTAAATATTAACTTATTTACACATTGACTGCTCCTGTTTCTTGACTGGCAGTTCCCTTAGCTCTAAGCAAAATCAATTAAACCCCATGTCTGCAGCAGCAATACAACTGAGAATTCAGCTAATCAATTGCTCATCAAGTTTATGTCTCTCTGTGTGTTTTTAATCTGTAGGTGGATTCTACCAAAGTGTACAAAGCACCTGAGGCATTTGATCCTGTTAAACTTGGAATGACAAAGCAGCTCAATATCAAGCTGGAAAGGTTGTACTGTTGCCTAGAGCCTAAAACTTTCTATATTTCTTCACACTTTTCGTTTTAAAGATTGAACTAAAAACTTCAAAAATGTAAGAATTCTAGCCAAAATTCTTTTCACAGACTTGTGTTATTCACTTCAACATTTCATAAGCTACATACATTTGAATCACTCTTTCTGTAAGGCTGCCAATGACACTACTTCCGCACTGGGGCGCACTGGCTTACTTTCACCTTAGCATGAGCCCCTATCACCTGCATTGAGAAACCTAGATTTGTTCACCAATGCCATAGCATGGTCATCAACCTCTGTATGGGGCCTAGACTCCACGGGAACGTCTAGACTACATCCCTCTTTTGACAGAGGGATGTAAATTAGACACTTTGAAATTGAAAATGAAGCTGGGATTTGAATTTCCCACACTTCATTTGCATATTCACATCATGGCGCTCTTTCGAAAAAGCGTTATTTCACAGTAGGTTTACAGGATCTTTTGGAAAAGGCAACTATTTTCAAAAGAACCGTGTCTAAGACTGCGAAATAGCGCTTTTCCAAAAGAGCACTATGATGCACATATGCAAATGAAGCACAGGAAATTCAAATCCCAGCTTCATTTGAAATTTCATAGTCTAATTTACATCCCTCTGTCGAAAGAGGGATGTAGTCTAGACACACCCCACTAGAGGGAAGCAGAACACTTCAGTGTGTTACAGTTGCAGTAAAGCACATTCTTAAGTGTTTGGCTGACCTGGGACTTGAAACACTTAATTTCTCCCTATTTATCTTCCATTCTAGTTCTCTTAAAAAAAAAAAAACAGTGTTAGGTTAGCGAGGATAAACTTTTCACTGAAAATCTCCATAGCTGGAGTCCTTCAAGATTGTTGGTAGCTGCAAAGTTCCTTTGCTTACTTCAGAAATTACTCTCTTTACAACTGACTGAATTACAGAGTTGTTAGGGCTGAGCCCCAATCTCAATGAAGTAAAGTGGAGTCTTCCAGCTGATTTCAGCGGTCACTGGATTGGACTCCCAGTGCCTCATCCCCACGTTGTATGGTCACACATCACTAATATCTGTCAGTTGTTGAAATAGCCACACACTTAGACTACAGCTATGGATGCTGACTTGCCCTCCCCTCAGTCCATACATATGAAGTTTCAGAAAGTTCAAATTAAATAAATGAGCTCAGTGTCAGAGGTAGTGGGGGGTGGGAGTGGGGAGGGGAAAGGCAGGAGCCAATGAGTAGGGGGCACTGGCTGAAAAGCCAGCTCCCGCCATCCCCCGTGCGTAAACGTAGAACCGCTGCAATTTTCAGTGGTTACACGTTTACCACAAACAAACGTATTTTAACATCCCTAATTGTAAACAGTCCCCAGAATGCTTCATTTATAATTAACAGGGGATACTCTTCAAACCTTTGCAATTGATGTTACAGCCAGCAGTTGTGTCTAACTTCTTTTCTGATTGTTTTGTTGCATTATTGTGCACAGTTTGATCAATAAAGAAAAAAAACTCAAGTTACTTACAGTGTACGTCTAGACTGTGAGGATCTATGGGAAAAAGATATATGCAAAATGTGGAGCACATTTTGCATATCTTTTTCTGATACTTTTGTCGGAAGAGGCCCATCTAGACTGGGCCAAATTTCAGAAAAACCCTTTCTTCGAAAGCCCCCTTCTTCCTTGTGAGAAATACAGGGGGGTTCCGAAAGAGCATGTCTGCTCTTCCACACACACAAAAAAAGTGGAAGAGAAAATGTGTTGCCTGGACGCGGTGGAGTTTTTTCAGGATTACTCCAGTATCCCGAACTTCCCCCCTCCCCCCCGTAGTCTAGCCAAACCCTCTGTGAGCAGTTCATTCATCCCACTAGAAGTGGTTGCTTGCAAATGTCACTGATTTTCAAGTGGCAGGTGAAAGATATGTAGCTTATCTGTCCTATAAAGAGTGACTATAAGTGACAGTACTTGGAAGTGGCATATGACATGAAGACCAGGGGCATAGATTGGATTTGTGATTGATGGGAAAGCTTCCAAACAAAGCAAAATAGTAAATGCTGCTTTCTGTGCTTATTTTAAACTAAATGAATTTAATGCTCGTGAAAGATACAATGCTGACAGCTCTAGAAATAGAAATTAACCACAAATCCGACAGCCACCATTTTTATTGATTCGACTCTGTCCTGGAGGAACAGCACCTAGCAGAGAAAGGAGAGTTCAATTCTCCATTTTCATCTGGCCCCCATCAGCTTCTCTATTGGGGCTATTGTCCAGGCAACCAACAAACCACAACTGAGTGGTGGTAATAGTGGTGTTGGCTCTTGGCTGCTTGAAACTGGGCAGTAATTAGCCCAGAAGAGGGAGCTTCTTAAAGGTCCAGCTGAGAATCAACTGGCTTTATCTTGTTTTAGGGCTGCCCTAAATCTTCCTGACATCCAGGGTTCCACTTTGCTGCTCTTAGGATTTGAATGAAGTTTGTCAATGTACCAATGCCACATAAGAAACATACTTGTATATTATGATCTCACATTTATACTGGGTATTGCCTACAGGCCAACCAGGCAGGGAGCCCAGTTATGCTACATGCTGGACAAACACAGTGGATCAATAAATTGCTAAGCACCAGACAGAGGTTAACTAATGCTCACCAATCTCTCTGAAAGTCACTCATCCACCCTGCCCACCGCTCACACATTCGCTCTTGGCGCCTGCTGCAGTTGTGTCTAAAAGAGGCGCCACCACTTTAAGAAGTTTTGCAGGCACAACACAAGGATCAAAGACCATCTGTACCCAGGTGCTGAGAGGGGCTTTGTCATGCATGAGGCTGGTGAAATGGAGGCTGCTCTTTAGCTAAACATATTAGTATCAAGGCTCTTCCATAGTCTGAGGGGGCAGGGACAGATGAATATCCAGGAATGGGGACATCCGGAGAGAGAGAGAGAAAAACATCCACCTTCCCCAAACACCCTCCCACCCCTGCAAAGCTCCCCTTACCTACTTGCATCCTCAGGAGGCAACTCCATCCAAACCACTTTCTCACAGTCGGTAGATGTGGAACTGCTCCCCTCTTTCCATGGACGAAGTCTTGGGGCACTGCCCCAGTTTGGCCTCCCTCCAGGGAACAGATCAGTTTCAGGACTTACCCATCCCTCCTCATCTGGGTGTTCTCATGAGCAGGGGGTTGAAATGCAATGAAAAGAGCTCTCACCAGCCAGGGAACAACAGCCCACTTCCCTCAACCCATCTGCTTTGCTATCTAAGCCCTCTGTTCTCCTATGGTGCCTTCCCATACAAGCTTGGTGGGAGGGGATAGGCCAGAGCCTGGCTCACTGCAGCCGATAATGAAGAGGGGAACAGCTGCTGCCTGGGGTCAGCAGAGCAGGAGAGGAGAGGGAAGCAGTAATCAGCCTCTGGCCATCACAGCTCCTCCTCATGGTGATGAGGCCAAACTTTTTCTCCCCTTTTAACTGCTAGGCTGCTCCTTGGGACCAGGTTCATAATCCCAGATGAAACAAGGCACCTGAGCCAAGTGCAAACTCTTCCACTTTGTCCTGCCACAGAGCTCCTTGCAAGCGGAGTTAATGATTTCATTTTTTTCTCCCTTGATGTGTCCCTAGTTGTAGCTTGTAAGTTTTCAAACATTGTGTTGGTGACCAAAGGGAACAAATCAGACCCCAAATGGAGGGGTTTTTTTAACTGATCTTTTAAAGACAAAACAATAGAAACATAAACATATCTATTAAAACAAACATATCTATTAAAACAATTTGTAAAATCACTATTCCCCCCAACAGTGTTTGCAGTCCTGATGTTGCAGCATTGGACTACTGCATAAAACATCTAAAAGGGAAATTAATTGGATACCCACCATAAAAAAAAAGGGAAACTGACTTGCCTATTTTCATTGTCCAAACTGAGTGCAATGTAGAAAATAAACACCAGAGTGAAAGTAAATTGGATTACAAAATACCTCCTGCTTCAATCATTTGCTTTCATTTCTAGCCATTTTTAAAAAAAATACAGTTTTAAATCTGACCGTGTCCCTGATGTTTGATATGACCATGTTAGAGGATTGGGCTTGATTCAGTCCTGGGATTACGCTCATGCTTCCTTGGCTAGCAGAAGGTAAGAGAAACTCTATGATTAACACCCACAGAAAACATGTTTCACACTGAGCCATCCAGGATCTTGTGCAAGTTCTGGAGGGAGCCCTACTTGAGCCTGTTTTATGCAGGATCCATATAGGTGGAGGGTGTGAAGTACAAAGTGCAGTGAGGCAATCCCCAGGGTTCAAACAGGGAAGTGGAGGACCTGTAATAGACCCCTCCCCCCACCTCCAGCCCCATGAGTCATCAGGAGGGTGACTAGAAGCCCATTTTTAAAGGGACAGTCCCGTATTTAAGCCCTCCTGCAGGTGTCGTGACTTTTGCTTAAAAACAGGCAAATTGTCTCATATTTTCTGTCTCCCCTGTTAGTATTCGTGGGTCCTGCTGCTGGCCCGATACGTGATCACTATCTGCCCAGCCACCAGTGGTCAATGTGCTGGGGGGGGGAGGGGGAGGTGTCTAGTGGCTGACAATGACAGTGGGTGAGTAAGGCTGGTGGCAGGACGAAGTTGCAGCATATGGGGCTGGCCACTCCTCCTGATCTGGGTAGCTTCCACTGTGAGCCAGCTCTTAGCCAGAAGGACCCTGACCCTTATCCCCATTTCTGGCTGGCACTGGCAGCACACAGCAAGCTGTGGCGACGACTCAGTGCGGGCAGGTGCCAGGCGGTAGCTGGTTTCGTCACCTCTGCTGCCCGTCCATCAGCCTTTTACGTGTTCCCCTTCTGCTAACCTCTCCCTGTGTTTCCTCTCACAGCCCCACTGCTCTTTTATTCCCCCATCCCCTCGGCAGGGATCTCTCAGTGTTGTGCAAAGAACTAGTGCCTCATCAGAGCACAGAGCTCACCAACAGCATGGCTGGCAATTTCCTTCCTGCCCCCACCAATTCTGGCTTGACCAGAGTCCTGGGAAAGCTCAAGACCCTCTGGGTCTGGTCACTACCAGGAGGAGCTGAGTCCAGCGTGAACCAAAGCCCTGTGCAGCGCTACCACAGGAAAGCTCAGCAGAGTTTGCGCAAAAATTTTTCAGTGTTGCAGCACAGATCTCTACCATGTCTTCAAAAGGTGTCACCTCGTTAGCTGGGTGCCGTAGGAAGCTGCTATACTCTATTGGACCAGGAATGAACGAGGTCATGAAAGAGGGTTTGACAGTGACCCACCTAAAGAAACACAAATTTTAACATCAGAATAGACCACCTTCCAAAGCTGAGTCCTAACACTCTCCATTTGCCTTGGACACAGTTGGCTGTTCTCTCCAGGTGCACCATCAGCCTCAACCCACCATGCTACCACTGCCAATCAAGCTCTGTGGAGCACTTCATAATTAATCACCTAAATTAAAGATGGTAACTTTTCATCGAACATGAAGTCAGATCCCATGTAAAATGCAAGAACCATTCAGGAATTCATCAGCATCCCAAGCTAACTACAGCAGATAATGTATGTCTTGTCAATGCAGAAGGGTTTTAGCATGGGCTGAGCCCTATTTTGCGCCTGAGCTGATCCCTGGTCAAAGTTGGGGTCTGGAAAAGGGTAACTCACTTGAACTTCTGGAAGCCTGTTTCCAGGGGATCGTATGTTGGGCTGAGTTCATGCTCAAAAGCTCTTGGTGGGCATTATATGAATGTGAGAGACATAAGAGCATTGTAACAGAAAGACTGGGCATCAGTGTGTGGGTAGAGGGAGAGTGGATGGATGGATAAACAACCATTGTATTTGACCACTAGATGGCTCTGCTGGACCAAATACAAAATGAGGCAAAAGGTTAAAAGCAAATCTATACAGCAAGTTAAAAAAAAAATCAATATTTCTCATCGAAAATCCCCAACACATTTTCTTTTTACGCCACTCGCTTTTAATTATATGGTGTAAGGTTCTCAACTTAGACAATACAAGGAAAGGCCTCTCCATGAGGCCAGTGACACAGCCTCCTTGCAGAGCAAACTGGTCAGTTCGTTGGCTGGCATATCAAGTTCTCAGTAGGTTTAGTGGTTCCCCTTCCACCTCCTTTCCTCATTTGTAAGTACACCCTGCCCGTGTCCTTTGGCATCCCTGCAGTCCTCTGCATCCTTGTGTGTGTCAAGACCTATTTTCATGTCTCCTCTATTTCCCCCCTACTTCTGTCCTTCGTTCTCAGTCCAGGGAAATACAACCTTTTCCCCAGTCCTCATTAGCACATCCAAGAGTGCCACTCAGAATGGAGGCAGGGCATGTGTCAATGGTTAATATGCTTCCTAACCCCAATATAAATAGAAATAAAAAGTTTTAAAACTACGAAATCAAATCCGTGTGAAGGTCTGTAAAATGCTAATGCAGAGTTCAGAGTGCTTGGTCCAGTGCATGTTACTGTAGGAGTCCACAGATCTCCCCAGGCTGCTCTACCGCCATCACTTCAGGTCATTGGGCTGCTTTCACACACGAGCAAACCCAGGCCTGTCTGCCTCCAGCAGCCAGGGCTATCCCCCCGTGGGAGTTGGCTAAGTGGGAATGGTGGGTAACAGTTCATCTTGTTTCTGCGGAATGGTAAACGCCTTCTATTCCATGGAACAACAGTGCTTGTGGCTTTTATTTCTTGTGGAGGAATTTCATTTTGCTCCCTGATGGAGATTAAGAAAGGAAAAGAGCCGTTATATAGTAAAATATAGTATGGAGAAAGTGTAAGCTCATCTTCAGGGCTAACTGGAGCTGGTTCCTCAGAATCACTCCCTCCTCCACCCTGCAATGCTGGGTCTTGTACAAGAGCAAGTTCCCCTGACTCCCCGAAGGAAGGAATTGGCTCCCTGTGGAGGTAGGTACAATAGCACTAGCTGAATATTTCAGCCAGACAGTGGCAATTTGAAAGGGACACAAGCTACAGCCTTCTCTCTCCTTCCACCTGAGGCAGGAGTTAAATGTTCTGCTTTCAAAGGGCTTCTGTTCCAGCCCTCTTTCTCTCTGTCCCCCCAGGTACTGCTATGGCTAGTGCTACTGCAATAGCGGAGCACCCTACAAGGGTTTATCTTCACAACACCGCTGGAAGGTAATTGCCTCATCCTCACCACAGCAAAGAGGGGCTGGAGCACTGGGAGAGAAACTGACTTGTCCATGTGAAGATCCAGTCCAGAACTCCCAGGTCCACCCCCGTGCCTTCGCCCATAAGACCAGTCTTCCTCCTTTGCAAGTCAGGCAACGAACTCAGGGCTCAAGCTTTGCTCCGCCCAAGCTCCCAGCACCACTGGCACTCGTGTGCATTAATCCCTGGCCCAGCACTGACCACTGAGGGAAGGCCCCTGATCAGGTCACAGTAACACAGGGGGGGAAATTCCAGAGTCAACTCTTTGGAGCGCGTCGCCTCCTCAAATAGCATCTTTGTTCTCCAATCACTGAGCCAGTAACCAAGGGAGCATGCAACACAACCACTGTGAAAGGACAATGGTTACTCTGGCATCTTACCGAGTCCTTTCAGGAATTTATTGACTCCACTCTGCTCCCCACTGGGGAGTGTTTCCAGGTACTCCTGGGCACGTACCTCAAACAGACCTGCCAGAAAAAAAAAATCCACAATCCTTTTGGTTTCAAATACACTGTAATAATGCCTAACTCGTCAGCAGTCGAGCGAAAAGCACTTTACTAAGGAGATCTGTACCATGAGCCCCATTGTAAGAGGAGGACACTGCAGCTCACAAAGCAGACATTGACTTGCCTCAGGTTACCCAGCAGGCCAGTGGCAGAGTTGGTCTCCAGAGCCACAGTCCAGGGCTTTATTCACTAGGCCTCACTGCTTCCTTGTGTGGGAATGACTAGCCCGACTGGTCAGCATTGCTTCGTGGAGGGAATGAAGGAATCTTTTCAAGGGAATTCTCTTGAGCTCTTTGACAGGGAGCAAGCAGAGACTAGAATGTGGGGCCACTGGAGGAATTAACATTTGCTGGCCATAGTCTCACTATCTATGAAAAGCTCTGTGGTCCCTCTGCCCTTTCCAGTGTCCACTGGTCATTAGGTCAAGGAGCTTGCATCATTAGCACTGACTAGCAGTTTGCTCACCACCTGAGAGAATCCAGGGAAAACACCCCAAACTGCCACTACTTCCCTGCATTCATCATTAATGCTCATCGCTTCAAAACACTTTGCAAACATTATCTAAGCTTCACAACTGTGCAGTGAGGTAAGTAATTCTCTCCCCCCTCCCGCTTTACAGACAGGGAAACTGAGGCACCAAGCATTTACGTGACATTCAAGACCTGAGAGAGGAATGGGCTAGGAATGGAACACAGGAGTTATTGGGGCTGGGGTCTGTATTCAGGGCACATCTCTCCCAAAAGGGGATGGGGCCGCTGCAACTCTAGAACTATGACCACTGCTGCTAAGGGAGACAGTACTGGCCGCTCACCGCTCCCAGGGGACCGACAGCAAAGGCCTAGATGGAATAAGAAAGCAGAGTCCCTAACCTTTGACGCCCTGTTTCCTCAGCTCCCGTTCCTGAATGAAGCCCCCAAACATCTGGGTTTCCATGAAGACCTCCAGGAAGCGTCGAAGGCTTTTGGAGGAGACGGACTTGCGGAAGGCCTCCCGCTGCAGGGTTCGCTCCTCTCGCTCAGTGGGGATCAGGAAAAGGGAGTAGTGGCCCATGATCTCCACAAAGAAACGAACGAAGGCTTCCGACACCACTTCGTTCAAGGGGCTGGACTCTAAGGAAGAAGCAGTGGGGGGAGAGGGGGGTGTGGAGAAACAGAGAAAGCCGTGAGGTGCTGGTGGTGGAATTGTGAGGCTGCGCTGGGCAGGAAAGGCCCCACTGGTTCGCCTGGAAGTTGTATTCCTGGCTGTGGTTCCACAGCGTACCAGCCCTGCATCTGAGTCCTGCTGGCTCCCTTAGAGACGGGGACTTGCACTGGCCTAAGAATGAGAAGCAGCTGTAGAGAGAGAGCACTCAACAGTCTGTTCCATTAAAAGGCTGGGAGTGGGCTGCCAATGCTCCCAAGAGCACTACGTAGGCTGCAGGGCCCTGGCTGGTGCAGAATCTCAGAGTGCGCCCCCATCGGCCCCCACTCCAGCAGTAAGTGGGAGACCTTTTCTCACTTTGCCGATTCAGGCTGGGAGGGCTGCAGAGCCTGCAGGTTCAGCTCGGCTGGAAGGGCAGGATTCACTCCCAGGACTGACACCAAAGCAACCTCTTCAACTAGCAGGAGTAGGGTTGCTACGTTGTGGATAAGGCAGGTGAGTGCAGGGAGGATGTATGGGGCAGAGGGTGAAAGGGGACAAGAGGAGCTAGTCACATAGTTAGTACAGGCCACCAGTGTGATGGACAGTATAGCAAAGCCTCAGCTAGTTCTAGCCACTGAACTGCATCTTCCATTCCAGCTTGGGTTAGACATCCCTTCTGGGGACGTAAATGAAGGGCCGTGGGGCCCATCCCATAAGAACGAGCAGACAGGCTGCAGGCTGTACCGTGTTTGCCATTCAGAGGAACCTCCTCCTTGTCACTAGCCAACTCGTTCCTCTGCTCCAGGATGTGCTCTAGCGCCGCCTGCAGCTTCCGAGGCAGGATGGAGTCCTCGTCCTCCATCTAGAAAACACATGCACACGCTCAGGGACCTTGTGCTGGCTCAGAGAACCTGCATTTCTCCTCAGCTAATTCACATGGAGTCGGGGAGAGACAGGGCAAGGGCACGCTGACTGTTTTCTGTTATGCGCCCAGGAGAGCAATGAGAACAAGACTCAGTGCGTGCCTAGCGCCTTCCACTCGAGTCGTCCGTCCCTTCCACAAGCACTGAAGGCACGTGTCTCACCCTCTGCTGCGCACCTTGCATTGGTTAGATTTGTAACCCTTCCTTTCAGCTGCCCGTCTCCTGGCCCTGACTAGAGGGAAGGTGCCACTCTGACAACAACAGGAGCAGGAGTCATCCGAACAATGCCAGCAAGCAGCTAGGTAGGCATGGCAACAAGGCCAAGACCTGCATGTGGTAAAGTGATTTAGCCCACCCCTCCCTTCCCATCCCCATACAATGTCATGCAGGGGTATCTGGAGAGGCACAGAGACACCACAGGTGTACTGGGCAGAAACAGAGTTGGCAGTAAGAATGGAGGGGGTTGCCACACTCTAGTTACTGGGGGTGGGAAGCCCTACATAAACCACTGAGAGAAGGCTGTATGGCTAGAGCCATTGACAAATGAAAATTGTATTGAAAGATAAGAACCAGACGTAGTCCCCACATCACCCCCATGAGGGAAGGCAGTTCTTTTATCCCCACTTTAGAGATGGGGAACTGTGGCCCTCTAGGGATTAAGCAACTTGCCCAAGGTCTCATGAGAAATCTGACACAGAGACAGGAGTTGACCCCAACATCTTAATCAAAAGCCTGATTTCCTGCCCTAGCCTGAATTCTTTGGGTTGTGGCTGTGATTCAGAGGAGCTGGATTCTGTTTAGAAAATAAGCAAAACCACTTGATAATCAACCTCTGGGTTCCAGGTTTAGGAATATGTTCCAGGACCTCCCAAATTCTTGCTCTTCTGCTCCTGGTCAAAGGGAGTCAGAATCCAGAGGCATATTTGTCTGCCAACTGATGGCCAGATTACTATTCATTGTCTTTTCACTATGGTCTGGTAATGTCAGGACTAGACAGGAAGGAACATGAGAGGGACCACGTAAGACAAAAACTGAAAGATCTACTGAGAACCAGTCCTCATTGGCGCAGATATTACCCAGAAAGTTAGTACTGACCAGTGCTTAGAGCAAAGAACAGCAATGAGACTCTAGGGTCAAATTCCAGCTTTGCCTGTGACTCACTCTGTGAGACCAGACAACACACTTAGGGCATGTCTACACCACATTCCTCTTTTGAGAGAGGAATGCAAATGCAGACGAACGAAATTGCAAATGAAGCATGGATTTGAATTTCCCATGCTTCATATGCATAATCATGTCTGGGCGCTATTTCGAAATACCCTATTTCAAAAAAAGAAACGCCATCTAGACGTGGTTATTTAGAAAGAAAACCCTTCTTTTGAAATTACCCTTACTCCTTATAAAATGAGGTTTAAGGGTAATTTCAAAAGAACGGTTTTCTTTCAAAATAACTGCGTCTAGACAGCATTTCTTTTTTTGAAATAGGGTATTTTGAAATAGTGCCCAGATGCGATTATGCAAATGAAGCACGGAAAATTCAAATCCGCGCTTCATTTGCAATTTTGTTCGTCTGCATTTGCATTCCTCTCTCAAAAGAGGAATGCAGTGTAGACATGCCCTTATATAGGCGTTGTGCCTCAGTTTCTCATCTGCTAAAAGGGATATTTCCTACTTTGCAAGGCTTTTGGAAGGTTTAATGTTTGTAAAGTACTTTGAGAATCTGTGAGATGCTACCTAAGCACAAAGTACTTTGACATTGCTATTAAACTGCACCAGCCATCAACTCCTGCCTCCTAGCCTGTGAGAAGGCAGGTGTCCCAGCCCAGCCAGACAAGCAAAATAAACAATTACAAGGTAAGGCAAGAGGAAACAGGAAGTGGGAAGAAAGAACCCCATATGGGACAGTTGTACTCACCTGTCTGAGGAACCGGTTATTAACTAGGTCAACCACAAGGACCTACCAAGGAAAGAATGGGGAATTGTTATTTTCTGTCACCAGAGATTATCCCAGATCTTCCCTGCTCTCCAGAAAAGCTTCAGCCCTCTCACAGATCCATGACAGCAAGAGGAAATATAAAACACTGGCCAACAGCTGGGCCCCTGTTGTGGTTTTCTGACCACATAGCCACAAGCCACAAAATGACAGCTTGAATGAAAGAAGCTGTCCTTCATTCACCCTCTTGCCTTCACCTCTCCCTTACGTATCTCAAACCTTAGACTAGAACACAGTCAGATCAATTGTTTAAGCAAAAATCCGTACAAAGAAGCCATAGGCTATTTTACATAGCCAAGGATGAGTAAGTGACCAAAATAATACAGGGATTTATCGTGAACTTTTATTTGGTATTGACTTTGTCCCACAAAACAAAGTAAAGCAACTTTTTAAAAACATTTAAACACATCATACATTAAAAACTCACTGCCACAGGAATATTGGAAGCAGTTGCTTACTATGACTCTGCAAGTATCAGATCTGTATGAACAGTGTTGACAGTTATAGAGCCGGTATGAAGTGGGAAGGAAAACAGGGTCACTGATCTAAGTTTGTCTTTAAAACAGGGGTTCTCAAACTTGTGATACCGTGACCCCCCCCCCTCAGTTGCTCGCGACCTCCCCTCTGCATTGCTGCAACCACCCTCTCAGTTGCTTGCGACCCCCCTCTAAGTTGCTTGGGACCCACAGTTTGAGAAACGCTGCTTTAAAAGATTATTTCCTTTAACACTCTACCACCATGAGGGCCACGAAAGGGCAGATGGCGATAGTCCATCAGTAGGGCTCCAAATGGCCATCCTGAACTGGAGTCTAGCACCTACAAGCCCTAGTGACAGACCGCACTCCATTGTACTGTACAAACACAGAGCAAAAACACAGTCCCTGCTCCAAGGAGCTTGTAATCTAAGTATAAGGCAAGAGACAGCAAATTGATACTGTCAGTCAGATAGAGGATCTGGGTCTGGATTCACTGCCGCTATCCCAGACAAGAACAATTCACACCTGACCAACTTGGTAATTGACTCTGAATGCTCACCTCTTCCACTGGTAGCTCCTTGAGGCGAGGCAGCGAGCTGGTGAGCAGGCCAATCAGGAAGGGGGTTGGTGAGCACACAATGTCAATCATGGAAGGTGGCAGCACAGGGATGTAGGTGTGCTGCCAGGTGAAGGGGTAGAGAAGAGCCACCATGGCATGGCAACACTTCGACAGGGTGCTAGAAGACAACACAAAGCACCAGCAGTTAAGGGGCAAGACTCCGCACTTGCTGAAAATCAGGCCCCTTTTCAGGTGTCTCACATTGGGCACCCATGGTCGGTAGCCATTTCCAGAACTCTAGTCCCCATGTTTTATTTCCTGGTCTAACAACACATGGAACAGGGGCAGGGTTAGAAAAAGCCATTCCTCTGTCACTTGGCCAGGGGGAGTTTTCCACTGCCTCCAGAGGCTGTGCCGCAGTGTGCGCTGGGCATAGACACTGAGAACTGGCCAGCTGTTCAATTTTGCTTTCTTCAGAGAACAGAGATACAGTCTTGAAGGCACAACAAGTGCTGATACTTAATTCTCACCCTGTCCCATGACACTCTGAACTAACAACATCATCTCTTTCTGACACTTGGCATATACCTCTGCCAAGGGCGGCCCTAGACTAGCTGCCAGCAACTGGCGCCCTAGGCAAACCATGCAATCGGCACCCCAACCTCCAAACCCCTCAATGATATCGTGCCACCATTTGGCGCCCCATTTAACTTGACACCCTAGGTGACCGCCTAGTTCGCCTATATGGACGGGCCGCTCCTGACCTCCACAAAGAACAAGGCTGCAGGGGGGAAAGATTATCAATGCACATATGATTAACTGTTCAGAGAAAACGAAAATGGCTAAATACTCAATAGAAAGTAGGCTAAAATACTACACTGCCAGACAGGCCCTGCATTGGACAGGGCCTCAAAAGGCTAGGGAAACCCAAGAGGAAGGTGGGGAAGGGACTAGATTGTGAGTATGTCTACAATGAAATTGTGAGGTGGGATTGTCTCTGGAGTAGGCATATCTGAGTTGCCTTTAGCTAGCTTGATCAAAACTAGCTTCAGCAATAAGAGCAGGATAACCATGGCAACTGGGCATCGGCATGGGCTGGCTTCCTGAATGCAAGCCTGACTAGGACTCAGAGCACGTGTTCAAGTGACCGGCCATGCTGCTGCAGCAACACTGCTATTGCTACTCCAGTCAGCTTTGCTCTAAATCTAGGTAGATGCCTACAGTGCAGAAATTACACCTCCTGATTGCAGTTCAGACACACCCTGAAGGGCTGGGGTAGAGGGTAGAAAGCTAATGCTTTTCTTGCTCACATGCTCCCAGCCGCTCTGCTGAAAGTTCCTTTGCTCATGACTTCCAAGAAGGTTTGGCCAGAGGACCCTTGCGAGCGCTGGAAGGAGAGGTGGGTGGGGCGTGCGGTCAGTTTCCCGGGGCTATGCAAAGCACACTGCAGGATATTGGTTACTCATCTGTTCTGGGTTTGGAAGGGTTTGTGTATGTCAGGGGATGGGGAGGCCCGCCATAACATGCTGTGTACATAACGTCATCTCGGTTTTACTAGCATCCAGCACTTGAAAGAATGGGGGAAGGGAGAACAGGCTAGTCTGGCCTGAAGGAATCACATGGCAAGGAAAGCTCTCACAGCTGGCTTGTGTTAAACTCCACAGGGGGAATTTACAGTGAGAAATGTGGTCCTGGCAGCTGTTGCTGGCTTGTAATGAGAGAGAGGAAGAGGGAGAGAAAGAGAAGGGGGCTGCAGCCTTGTGCTCATTCAGAAAGGCAGGCCTGATTTTTTTGCTCCAGTTAAGTCTGGCAAATTTGAGTCTCCACAGCATGACACTAGAGCAGGCTTAGGATACTATCATGGCTGGGCTATCGATTTGGCTGCTTTTCACTGGATACATTCAGTTGGCAGAGTGTGACCTGTTGTCGTGACATCACTGAGAGCAAGTGAAGAAATGCTCTGAGCAGTTTATATGGAGGCATGTGCCAGCCAGAGGATAAGTGACATTTGATCCCTGAGCAGAGAGAGGAATCCATTTAACACTTCAGTTGAAAATGGGGGATAATGGTACTGTCCTTCTTTGTAAAGCGGTTTTTGTTACTCTTTTAGGCTTTACCTCTGACTCTCACCAATGAAGTGCATACATTACAGAATTACTTCCACATGGAGAGAGGTTCTCTTTATAAAAGAGGCCCAGATTTTCACTTCCTTGCTTAAAGGGACACTCTCAACTTGATTTGTTTCTTATTGACAACTGTAAAAAAAAATTGACATTTCTGACGGAGTGCCCTTTAAATACAGTCTTCTGGATTTGTAAAAGGTCCTTTAAGAAAGGGCAGAAGACTTTACTCCTCAGCTGATGTTTAGAAGAGTGCAGGAACCTAACCAATAAAGCATGTTCCCGCCCCCTTCTCCCTCTCTTGCACATTCCAGCCAGCTGCCCCTTCACCTCCTTTTCACTTTGCTTCTGCTGTCACTCACAAGTCCCCTTTTGCAGGGCCTGCACCAACCACGAAGAGTGATACTAACTCTCCACAAAGTCCTGTCAATTGTGCAAGGCAAACAACGTGAAAAATAAACATTCTTTGTTCACGTTCATTTATGCAGGCTTGTATCAAGAGTATGCCTGCCATTATAAATGGGAACATCAGGCTACGTCCCTTTAAAAATCTCTCCCTTAAGAAGATGATGCTTTTCTTCACACATTTTTGTGGCCAACATTATCAGAGACTGGAAAGCCACCGGGCGGAAAGGGTGTTCTCCTCCTCCTCTATTTCCTAGCATATTTTTCACCTTCCCAATTTTATAACCTGTGGAAAGAACAGTAGTGTTTGTGCGGAAGCACTGACACCAATTGTCAGTAATGTTGTGGGATTATTCTGAGGTTATCATTGAAGTCCCTTTTTCTTTGAGTTGGGATGCAGGGTGGAAAGAGCAGAAGTTACATTTTTGTCATGAACCAACCTCTGTCTCCTTCACTTTCAGAGCACAGACAGCTTTTCCATCCAGAGATAGGAACTGATTTGAAAGGTTGGCCTTTGTGGAATTAATTGAACTGACTGGTCTGGTTCCAGACAGCTCTAAAGAAGAACACAGAGCAGTCAAAACACTGTTCTACATGGGGGCTAGTGGGAAAATTAAAGATTTTGTTCTCCACCAGCATTACAGTGACTCTCCATTCCCTTCTCCCCTAGTGCAAGTCATAGGGTATGTCTACACTACAGAGGGTTTTTTTTAGAAAAATGGCCATTTTTCAAAAAAAAACCTTCAATTACATCCACACTGCAATTGAATTCTTCCGAAATAAAAATTGAAAGAATAGAGGGGGTTTTCCTACATTGGTAAACCTCCTTCTACGAGGAAGAAGCCTTTTTCTGAAAGAGCTCTTTCGGCAAAAGGCATGTGTGGACGGGGAAGAGGGAGTTCTTTTGAAAGAAGAGGAGAGAGAAAAGGCACAAGTGCCTTGGTGGCCACTCCATCCATAGTAATCACAGCTGAAATGCGAGATAGTGTGGACGCCATTCAGTGTGGATGCTATCTTTCGATGCACTTTTGTACGTGGACACTCTCTTTCGGAAGAAGTTTTTCCAGAAGATCTCTTCCGGAAAAGCTTCTTCCCAAAGAAGCTTGCAGACTAGACATAGTCATAGTGGAATACAGAGGGGTATGTGACAGAGGAAGTGGGAGGAAACATGCCTGGGAGGACAGCTGGTGGAAGTCACAGACTTGATTGAACTGGTTATGACAGAAAAAAAGTGAAGTTATATGCTGTGACTGTACAAGAAACAAAGAAGGTTTCCCTCCTTTTCACCATAGCATCACTGAAGTCCTAGTGACCAAAACCATCCCAGGTTAATCCTGGTCATGGGTCCTCAGCATGGAACATTCCTCCCATTGCACAATTCTCAGTCTAGGTTGTGGATTAGATTGCTTAGCCTCAGATCCACCAGCATCCAGGAATGCAAAGAAGTTGATTAGGGGAGTGGCAGGGTGGGGGGAGAATACAAATGCAAATGTGTCTCCTCTGCTTGTGTTTCAGCCAATGTTGCTTGCAGTGGTTCTGGATGCAGTTGTGGAACTTGAGCTTTTATACTGCAAAATGGAAGCTTTAGAATGACTAAAATCTAGTAGAAAGTCACAGGTCCATTATTTGTGGAGACCATCAATGCCTCCCTTTGGCATGGCAGATTAGTGGCATGTCATGCTGAAATGTTTTTTAGGTATAGGTTGAACCTCTCTAGCACACTCAGGGCCTGACTGGTGTTGAACCAGAGAATGTGCCAAACCACCAGTGGTCAACATTGTCTAGCAACTTTACCAACACTTCCACTGTTTACTGGGCTCTTGGAAGCCATTAGAGCTAAATAACAGCACAGATCATTTAGGACAGGTGGCTGTAAAATTTTATGGACTGCGGGAAACTTAGCTACACCCATGATAAGTGGTCATCTGGCTAACTAAAATCATGCTGGACTTCAGATGTTGCCAGACCAGAGTGTGCCAGACTAGAGAGGTTCAACCAATCCTATCAGTTATCATCTGTGCTCTAATGTTCTCCTTCAGGTTAAGCTCAGGGAGAAGAGGGAAAAGCAACTCTAGGGTGCTAAGATGGCCTGAGATCTGATCAGTCTGATTTTAGACCTGGGTACAACATGAAGCATGCACTGCTCTTATTGGTGTGTCCTCTCCTACTGGTGATGACCCAAATCAAGTGTCCATGCTGATTCTTTTAAACTGTCTTTAGTACTATTGACCACAAAGCCTTGCTGACACCACTACAGTCCCCAGCAGGGATAGAACTTGTGCTAGGATAGTCTGTCCCATGAAGACTAGCGCTGCCTACTGCTCAACTCACTGGGTTACATGGCAACGCCCTTTGAGAGAGTGAAAGGTATGATTATATACAAAGACTTGAGAGAGTGGTCCCAAACAAGTGTGTGGGAGGAAATCCTGTGACTAGTTTTTTAAGGACACAGAGCCTGACGTCTAGCAGAGAGAGTAGGGCAAGGCTCCTCTCTGCCCCAGCCAACTGGGGTGAGCTGAAAGAAGGGGGACAACGTAAAAGTTCCATCTTTTCTCATAGCAGAGTGGACAGTAGGAGACACTGAGGAAAGCTGAGGAGTCCTGCAGACCACAAAATCTGACAGAGAGACCTGCTCCAGCAAGGAGAGCTGGCAAGGCCCCTAGAAGAGATGAAAGGGCAGAACTGATTCATACAGCCAGTTCCAAGGAGATTCCAGCTTAAGGAAGGGCTGAAAAGAGGCAACTCTGAGAACAAACTTAGAAGGGTTGTTGGACCAAAAGCTGTTTTCTGGAATGAAGAGTCTCCTGAAGGAAGGAGCCAGAGATGATAAGCTGGCAGCGGTGGATTTAGGGCAGGGCGAGCGGGGCAGCTGCCCCGGGCCCCACGCTTCCCGAGGCCCCTCGCATGCGCTGTGGCACCACGGCGCATGCGCCATGTCAAAGGAGGGGCCCCGCGAAATTTCGCTGCCCGGGGCCCCGCGGCACTCTCATCCGCCCCTGCTAGCTGGACTAAGCCCAAGGCAACAAATATCCCTAGATTACCTGAATGAGCTTCTACTTGTGCTTGTGGTTGTCACTAATACATGAGACCTTTGCAAGGAGATGGCTCTTTGATTAAAAAGATCAGTTTGCACTTGCTTATAAACCCAGCTGAAGAGAGGGGATATAGGATGCATCCGTGGTGCCAGACCTGACCAGAAGGGGGCCCATCAGGGCAAGCTCCAGGTCTTTGTCGGACGTTCCCCATTTTCAAAAACTTTGGTCTATCTTAAAGGTAGGTTCCTTAATCTATATTTAGGATCTGGAATAAGTGTTTTGATCTGTAAAGTGCTGAGTACTCAGCAGCTTGCATTCAGGCCAATGGAACTGCCACATTCATAGTAGTTTGGAGAGCTCAGGCCAACTATTTAGCAGCCAGAACTTGGGTTTAAGGAGTCTGAGTGCTGTGTTGTTTGCAAATCTTGGTCTGTAATGCCCAAGACTTCTACTTTGGGACTTTGATTTGAAAATATAATTTCATTATAAAGATAGTCTATCCATTTGTGGCACATAACAGTGCATGAAGTCCTCTACAGGCCTGAGCAAAGCTAGGGAAAAATTATCACAATAGAGCAAGAATTTTGGGGGGTAGTCATTTTCTTGGGTTGAAAGGAAATGTTTATTCTTGTTGCTATGGCAAAGAGAGAGGGAACTAAAAACCAAATTCTCTCTTTTTCCACTGCCAAGCTTAGGACTGACAGATCTTCTAAAAACACTCAATAGCCACTGCAAAGATGGAAAAGACAAAACTATTTCTCTTGCTTTACACTTGTTAGATGTGGTTTTGGCTCAGCTTGAAAACATTTCATAATTCACACCGTACTTGGCAAGAGTCCTTTTTACTTCCTTTCACAGAGACTTCAGATTTTGTAATAATTAAAATATGGAAATAAACAATATGTGTATCATTCCTTCTCTCTTGCTATATAAATATATATATTAATATATAAACACACACCTTGGCACACAAGTACATGTACAGATAAACACAGTGATGACTTTTGCATGATAAATTAGCAGGGTGTGCAATAAATGCAATTTATCACACACTTTTTACCACTTCCCCTGCACTCTGACCATTAATCCATCTCTCCTGGACTCCTACTAGCATTCCAAACCCCTGAGCACTTCCAACAGCTGTCATTTCTACATTTTAAAAATCTATTTTCCAGATGAATGTTTGTTTTCTTCCCTAAAAACATTCAAATCCTACTCCTAATTTCCTCGTCCCCTGACCCACCACAAGTGACAGCCAGCCCTGAATCAATGATAGATTTCAGATCCAATATCTCACACGCCACCAAAGAGCTCTAATCATGTGTGTTAGCAACATGATACACAGTACTTGATTCTTACCCTGGTAGATTCATAGATACTGGACCTTAAAATCTTGATGCTAGTGTATATAATTTTTAGAGGTTTCTGCTAGGAATGTAATAGTATAATCAATTAACTGATTAACCAATAAGCAAAAGCGATTAATGCTATAGATTACGTGCATTCCCCCCCCCTCCCCCCCCGCCCCTTGCCAGTAAATTTTTTAGCTGGCTGGCCAGCAGACCAGCTCAGTCCACACTTTGCGCTGTGGCTCTGCATTTAAAGTGTATTAGGAGGCAGGCAGTCCTGCTCAGGGTATGTCTACACTAACGTCCGTTTTTCCAACAAAACTTGAGGAACATCCACACTGCAATTGTGTTCTTCCGCAAGAAAATCAAAAGAACAGAGGGGGTTTTCTGGCATCGGTAATCCTCATTCTATGAGGAAGAAGCCTTTTTGCTAAATAGCTCTTTTGCAAAAAGGCGTGTGTGGACGGAGAAAGAGGGAGTTCTTTCGGAAGAAGAGGAAAGAGGAAAAAGCACAGGTGCCCTGGTGGCCATTCCATTCATAGCAATCACAGCTTACATGCAAGAGAGTGTCCATTCAGTCTGGATGCTCTCTTTCGAAAAAGCAATCTGTTTTTTCGATTCACTTTTTCAGTGTGGATGCACTCTTTCAGAAGATTTTCCAGAAGATCTCTTCTGAAAAAAGCTTCTTCTGAAAGAAGCCTGTATTCTAGATGCAGCCTCAGTTCTGTCTCGTGCCAAGTCTGAGCTCCTAGACCCTCTCCTGGACAGGGACTGCCCGGGGACTATAGAGTAGTCGACTAACCGATGAGAATTCATGAGGGTTAGTCAACTATTCAATTAACTGATATTTAACATCCCTAGTTTCTACAATTTGTAATACTTTCTCTCTTTTACCAAGGCCTGACTAGTTGGAGTCAGTACTAAGGCACCTGGCTTTACTGACAGAAGAATACCCATAGAAAACATTTTTGCAATATGGTCCATAACACACACATTCTGGATATGTCACATGATGGTGCAATATGATATAAGGGTTTTATTGGAACTCCCTTGGGCTGATCTGCCTAACAATATGCTGATTCCAAACTAATACCAATAAAATCCTTGCAGATTCTCACTGCCTATCATCATATAAAGATTAATCCATGTCTCTGTCCCTAATGAATCCAGCCAGCTGCACTTATCCATAGGGGAGGGAAAACTTCCCAGAAAAAACATTGTCATTATAAAGATTACCCAAGTTATCTGTATTGTTTAGACATGGGAAATATGAGACGGTGAAATGCGGCGTCAGTGCTTCATTTGAAATGTAGGTATTTAACATGCCAAGCGAATGCAACCAAATAGAGCCTTCTCTTGATCCGAAGCAGCCGAAAAGACGCGACAGTGAGGACCTGCTGCCTCTATGCCACAGTCCATTCAGCCTGCCCACAGGTGTGATGAGTTTGTATGAGCCTTATACATTCCTGGATCACTACAGGGCGAGTTGTTCTTTTGCTCCCCAATAAAAGGGGCCTCTCCACTTGCCTTCCCTCCTTCAGTCCCAGGGCTGTAGCCCGGCTGGCTGGGATCTCTGAAAACAGACAGCTTGGGGGTATTGTACGTTGCTGAAACCTGATCATGCTCAGAAGCGTCATTACTCATCTGTAGCTTTTCCGTCACCGAGCTTTGAGAACTCTCCTCTCTGAATCCTCAAGTGCTTAAGGCCTGGATGGCTGCCAGGCCCCAGCTGCATGAAATCTTAAAGAGACCCGGACCCGTGCTGAACTTGTGGGAGTGAATCAGTTTAAACACCAAACCGCAAGAACCAATATTAAAAAAATAGCCAACAGACTCTGAAACCCTCAGTGAAAGGGCTAGGAGATACCACGGTTCCTCCCTCCCTGGGGCTTGGTTCTGTGTGTGCCAAAACAGGGAACATCACACCCCTCCCAAGCAACAGGAGCGGTTCTGCTTTCTTACTGCAAGGGGCTCTGGCTCGGTGAGATTCTGAGCAAAGGGAACTTGGTTTCCATTGTGCACTAGAGGAAGTTCAGTTTTTTCATGCTCTGGAGCTGGGCTGAGGAGTTTGGATTTCTCTCAGCATTTCCAGTGGAGGCCTGGAGCACTTCATTAGCGTGCCTGCCTTTTGGGGGCACTGGCAGGACTTGCATTGAATGAGAAGCTGGGAAATAAACGAGAAGAACAAAAGAACACAGGGATCCTGGCACTCCTTTCCCAGTCTCTCTTTAGCTCACATTTTGTTCAAGAGAACGCACGAGACAGCTGTGCGGTGGGTACCTGAGTTTGTCAGCTATAAAGATCACTCTTCTCTCTAGAAGCAGGGAGGCAAACACTCGGCTCAGGTGCCGGACGCTGAGAGTGGAGAACAAGGACTCAAAATCAACATGCTCAAGTCTCGAGTCCAGAGGCCGCCGCAGCTCAATTACCTGCCAGAAGGAAAAAGAGTACAAGTCCTGGCCTCACTCAGTGCACTGAGTCGCAAGGGGCCAGACTCCCCCAGGACATGAACCAGGGACCCTCTCAACCAGAAGAAACAGTATTGCTGCTTGAGCTAAAGGGGACCTGATGTTAGGGAATGGCAAGCCTTCAGATTTAGTCTTTCCACAGGCTCCACAAACATGTCCTGGAGACGAAGCTGAAAGCCAGCACTTGGCTTCCTCTTCCCCCAGGAGCAGTGAAGGGTAGGAGGCTTGTGACAGGTGGCTATCATAGACGGATAGGTCTCCCCTGTGAGGTTCAGCTGACAGGGCTAATAACAAGTAGAACCAGGAGTTCAATTGAGGCAAGAGCCTATATTCCTGCAGCCACAGGACCAGCTCAGATTTAACTCTCCCAGGGGTTCTACCTAGAGTTCAGAGTACAAAACATATCAGAAGGACAGAACAGGTCATGCTGGTGGGGGAATGGCATTATACGTGAAAGAAAATGTAGAATCAAATGAAGTAAAAATCTTAAATGAGCCAAAATGTTCCACAGAATCTCTATGGATAGTAATTCAATGCTCCAATAATAAGAATATAACAGTAAGGATATATTATCGACCACCTGACCCAGACAATGATAGTCACTATGAAATGCTAAGAGAGATTAGAGAGGTTATCAAATTAAAAATATGCAGTAATAGAGGGGGATTTCAACTATCCCCATATTGACTGGGTACACGTCACCTCAGGATGGGATGCAGAGATAAAATTTCTTGATACCTTAAATAACTGCTTCTTGGAGCAGCTGGTTCTGGAACCCACAAGGGGAGAGGCTATTCCTGATTTAGTCCTACGTGGAGCACAGAATCTGGTTCAAGAGGTAAATATAACTGGAAATAGTGATCATGATGTAATAAAATTGAACATCCCTGTGGTGGGAAAAACACCTCAGCAGCTCAACACTGTGGCATTTAATTTCAGAAAGAGGAACTACACAAAAATGAGGAAATTAGTTAAACAGAAATTAAAAGGCACAGTGACAAAAGTGAAATCTCTGCAAGATGCATGGAAACTTTTCAAAGACACCGTAATAGAGGCCCAACTTAAATGTATACCCCAAATTTAAAAAACTCAGTAAGAGAACCCAAAAAGTGCCACTGTGGCTTAACAACCAGGTAAAAGAAGCAGTGACAGATAAAAAGACATCTTTTAAAAAGTGGAAGCCAAGTCCTAGTGAGGAAAATAGAAAGGACCATAAACTTTATCAAATTAAGTACAGGCAGTTCCTGGGTTACGTACAAGATAGGGACTGTAGGTTTGTTCTTAAGTTGAATCTGTATGTAAGTCGGAACTGGCGTCCAGATTCAGCCGCTGCTGAAACTGATCAGTTTCAACAGCGGCTGAATCTGGACACCACTCAGCGTCTCCCTGGGCTGCTCTTTCTCCCTGGTCTGCTATTACTGTTCCAGATCAGCTGAAAGCGCCGTGGGTCCGGCCCGGGTCCTCCGCCGCTCTGCTCAGCGTCTCCCTGGTCTACAGACCAGGGAGATGCTGAACAGAGCGGTGGAGCACCCGGCAGGACCCGCGCTGCTTCCAGCTGATCTGGAAGCGGCCGTGGGTCCAGCCCCCAGTGCTCCGCCGCTTTGCTCTCGTCTCCCTGGTCTGCTGGCTCCGCCAGCAGACCAGGGAGACGGGAAGCAGCTTTTCTCGCCCCGGAGAAGGCGGGCGGCGGGACCAGGCGTCCCGCCGCTCCAGTCCTCCGGGGCGAGAAAATCCCCGTTTGTAACTGCGGATCCGACATAAGTCGGATCCGCGTAACTCGGGGACTGCCTGTATAAAATATAATAAGAAAATATAATTCAAAAAGGAGTTTGAAGAACAGCTAGCCAAAAACTCAAAAAGTAATAGTAAAATGTTTAAGTACATCAGAAGCAGGAAGCCGGATAAACAACCAGTGGGGCCCTTGGACAATCAAGATGCTAAAGGAGCCCTCAAAGATTATAGACATAGTGGAGAAGCTAAATGAATTTTTTGCTTCAGTTTGCACAGCTGAGGATATTGGGGATTGATAACTGGTTAAAAGACAGGAAACAAAAGGTAGGAATAAATTGTAAGTTTTCTGAGTGGAGAGAGGTAACTAGTGGGGTCCCCCAAGGGTCTGTCCTGGGACCAATCCTATTCAACTTATTTAAAATGATCTAGAGAAAGGGGTAAACAATGAGGTGGCAAAATTTGCAGATGATACCAAACTGCTCAAGATAGTTAAGACCAAAGCAGACTGTGAAGAGCTTCAAAAAGATCTCACCCAACAAAGTGATTGGGCAACAAAATGGCAAATGAAATTTAATGTTGATAAATGTAAAGCAATGCACATCAGAAAAAATAATCCCAACCATACATTCAATATGATGGGGGACTAATTTATCTATAACTACTCAAGAGAGAGATCTTGGAGTCATTGTGAATAGTTCTCTGAAAACATCCCCTCGGTGTGCAGCGGCAGTGGAAAAAAGCAAATAGAATGTTAGGAATCATTAAAAAAGGGATCGAGAATAAAACAGAAAACACCTTATTGCCTCTATATAAAACCACGGTACGCCCACATCTTGAATACTGCCTACAGATGTGGTCGCCTCACCTCAAAAAAGATATATTGGCATTGGAAAAGGTTCAGAAAAGGGCAACAAAAATGATTAGGGGGTTGGAATGGGTCCCATATGAAGAGAGATTAAAAAGACTGGGACTTTTCATCTTGAAAAGAAGAGACTGGGGGGGGATGTGATAGAGGTCTATAAAATCATGACTGGTGTGGAAAAAGTGAATAAGGAAAAGTTATTTACTTATTCCCACAATGTAAGAACTAAGGGTCACCAATGAATTTAATGAAATGAAATTAATAGGCAACAGGTTTAAAACAAACAAAAGGAAGTTTTTCTTCACTCTGCACATAGTCAACTGCACATAGTCAACCTGTGGAACCCCTTGCCAGAGGATGTGATGAAAGCTAGAAACTTTAACAGGGTTCAAAATAGAGCTAGATAAGTTGATGGAGGGTAGGTCCATCAATGGCTACTAGCCAGGATTGGTGTCCCTAGTCTCTGTTTGTTTGGAAGTGGGTGACAGGGGAGGGATCACATGAGGATTACCTGTTGTGTTCCCTCCCACTGGGGCATCTGGTATTGGCCGCTGTCAGCAGAGAGGATACTGGGTTGGATGGTACTTTGGTCTGACCCAGTACGGCCGTTCTTAAGTTAATTCCAGATGGGTGCAGAAATCCACTGCAGAGTCTCCCACTGAATTAGGCACAGGAAGCTCCTGCTCTACCTGTATGATGCCCACACAGACGTTTATGCTTAGTCACTTGACATGGGGCAGTCCCAGGGAGTGGAATTGTGTTCCCATCAGGAATAGAGTCTGGGCAGCCCGCTGAAGGGTACAGGGGGAAGGATGGAGACAGGTGACGTTTCTAATTGTTTAGTCAGACAGCCAGGATCGTTTTTATTAGGAGAATCTGGATGGGAATGACAAGGGAGCAAGGTCGAACGTGTACACTATCCACTTTGGTACCAGTTACAACACAGACTTCTAGCTATGCATACAGTCCTCACTGCCATCTATCTATGTCTCCTCAGAGCAGCCCTGTGAGATAGGGCAGGACTATCCTATCCCCATGTTTCAGAAGAGGGCTGAAGCATTTAGTGACTCGCTGAAGGTCACACAGGAAGTCTGTGACAGAACAGGGAATTCAAGCCGTGTGAGCCACATCCCAGTCCCGTGCCTTAACCACTAGACCATCTTTCCTCCTGTGTAGCCAGTTTTAAAGCACCTTGCTCATACTTCCACAGCACATCATATGGCCCACCCTTGACGTTACCCTATGAGAGCCAAGTGTATGTCTACACTAGCTCATTAGTTCAAGCTAGGTAGGCAAATGAGGGCAACCGGTGTTGCAAATGAAGCCTGTGATTTAAATATCCCGGGCTTCATTTGCATGTTCCCGGGCGCTGCCATTTTTAAATCCCCCTTAGTCCGAACTGAGGAGTAACAGTTAATTCAAACTAAGGAGTTAATTCGAATTAACATTTAACTGCCGCGTCTAGCCGTGGGGACTAAGGGGGATTTTAAAATGGCGGCATCCGGGAACATGCAAATGAAGCCTGGGATATTTAAATCCCGGGCTTCATTTGCAACTCCGGTTGCCCTCATTTGCTCACCTAGCTTGAACTAACGAGCTAATGTAGACATACCCATATAAGCAAAGGGCCATATATGCCACTGTGGCAGCTGAAAGGAACTTAAAGAAGGCAAAAAGAGCCCCCTAGGAATAACTGCTGTGCAGTCAAGCTCTCTGGTGTAGGCGGCAGACTGAGGGTGTGGCTGGTTGGGGCATGTCCCACTAAAGATATTCTATCTGGGTCTCCCAGAGCCTCTTCAAGGTCAAGCAAGGCTGTACCCCACATGGTGCTGAATGAGTCAATATGGGCCGGAGTGGCCAGTTAACATACCAGGCTATCTCTGGAAGGAGAGCCAGGCATAAGTGATCAAGAAACCTGAGACTGGGCAGGAACAGGCTGACTAGCATAAAGAGAGGAAGCCTGTCACAGAAGACGACTAAATAATCTTTGAAAGGCTCCAATACCTAGGTGATAAAAGCCTGAGTGTAATATTAACATGACAGAATAGGATACGGAGAAAAGGGGAAATTCCTAGGGACTGGAAACATGTGCTTATTGCCTCGGTGAGGGAACCCGGCAAGACGCACACTAGGTCTGAGGCATGCACATCCATTGTCCCGACATCATGTTTGCAAGGGCTGGGAATGGAAAGATGAGTAGCACACTCTGGCTATGTCTACACTGTCCCTCTCTTGTGGAAAATACAAATGAGGAATGTCACCACACTTCATTTGCATAATTAAAGAGGCTCATTTTTGTGCAACCCCCCCCTCTTGCGCAAGCGCTGTTGTTTCACATTTTTTTCCGAACGAGAGGGTTTTTGCACAAAAAGGAGCTGTATAGATGGCTCCTTTTTACGCAAAAGCCTCTTGCACAAAAACGGAGCCTAATTAATTATGCAAATGAGATGTGGCGATATTCCACGCTTCGCCTCATTTGCATATGTTTTTCTACAAGACAGTGTAGACATAGCCTTAGAAAGAAATGGGCTCAACTATGGAACATAAACTGGGTTCAGAAGGCACAGTGCGCCTAACCACCGATAGGCACGGCAGCACAAAAAAGCTGCAGAGAGAAAGATGACATGATAGTGAACCTTCCTAGAAATAGAAAAAGCGTGCAACGTGTTATGGAAAGAGGGGCTATTATATAAAGTGGCAACTGCAGGTACTGTTGGAAGACAATAGGGCTGGCCTTACCATGAGGCAAACTGAGGCGGCTGCCTCAAGTGCCAGACTGTGTGTGGGGGGGGTGTCATTAGGACCCAGAGTGTAGAAAATTGTGTCTGCTGCTGGTGCATATGTATTCTCTCTGCTCTAGATACATAAAGATGGTGGAGTGCCATGAAAGCAATAGAACAGGAAGAAGGCAGAATTGAGACCTTTCAAAGTTTTGGCCCAAGCGAGGGGACATAGGGGCATCATTTGAGCTCCCCACCTCAGGTGCCAAAATGTGGGCCGGCCCTGGAAGACAATACAAATGGATAAGGGATTTCCTACACAAAGAACTATGCAGGTCTGGTTAGGGAAAGCCTTTTCCACTGTGTATTCCATTACAAATAAAGCACCATGGGGGACTGTCATCATCCCAGCTCTTTTACACTTAGGGTGTGTGTCTTTGCAAAGGAAACCGAGTGCAGGAACAGGCATCACTTTATTTCCCAATAACCGTGCCATATGGATGAAGGGCAGACACCTTGGATGTGCCACCAAAAGAATCAGTGATGCACTTTAGGGGAGTACAGAATGAGGCAACAGATGGGGCTTTGAGTTCTCCATTGACTAAACTAAATGAATGATCTGCACCAGGTGCAAGATTCAGAAATGATAGAAATAGGTGACCAGCAGATGAACACAGTGGAAAAGGACAAATTCTTAGGTGCGATGTTTGATAACAAGCCCACCTGGAGGGACCTGTGACGCAGTGCGCTTCCTCCACTTGCCCTGAAGGGGTTAACATAGGCCAGATGGGCCAATTGACAGACTGGACTGCAGACCAAGGGACATGTCAGCGGAGAGGAAAACGCTAATGAAGGGAAGCTCACCTGTGCAGGAACAGGCAGGAAGGGGGTGCTGCCGGGAAGAGGGCTTCAGTCACTCTCCCTGGGACAAGGGAGAGAAAGAGATTTAGATCCCAGAGGAAGGTTTTGTTTAGCAGACTCAGTGGAAAGGGGTTTGGCCAGATGGGCAGAGAATGAAAGCTTGGGAGAGGCAACGTAGGAAGCAGACCAAGAGAGAGTTAGGAAGATTTGGGCGCTACAGACCTTAGCTGCTAGAGACAGAGCCCCTGGACTGGAACCCAGAGTAAAGGATGGACTTGAGTTCCTTTACCAGCTGTTGCATTAGTAGTCCAATCTGGTGGTCTTCAGGACCATCCAGGACTATCTATCCCGGTCACTGAGGGAGTAACTTAGCCAGGGCAGTGGACTTCTGGCTGCTGGAGAAGGCTGTGATGGAACTCAGAAGAGGAGGACTGATGTGACTTTGGCCACGGATGCAAGCCATGAAGACTGAGGAGCAGGAGAAGGGCCATATTGTGAGAGACCAAGATGCCAGACTGAGAAATCATGAGATGTCAGGCTGACAGAGCTAATCCCCAGACCGGACAGGAGGAGGAGCCCCTCGCAGAGAGTCGTGAACCCCACAACAGGACTATATTGGAAACATTATAGATAAGTGCAAGGGAAGAATCAACTTACTAAGGAAATGGTGAGACTGTTATACAGAATGCTAAATCAGACCTATTATTGAGTATGGCTACTAGGCCTTTAGGTCAGCATCGAAAACAAATCTGTGAAAACTAGACTGTATCCAAGCACAGACATTGCATATAACATGAGATGCCTTCCTTACCATGCCTCTGTGTCTATGCAGATAGCAGCTAGGGAAATGCCCATCTCTCTCAGAATGAAGCTCCAAGATTCAGCCATTAGGACCAAAGTACTAGGCAATAGTGAAGATAACACTAAGCTAATATATATATTAATTGTTGGGAATTAAGTGCAGACCAAGTAGGACAAAAACTCAAAATTCCTCAGTAAGGCTACGTCTAGACTGTAAGTCTCTTTCGAAAGAAGCTTTTTTGAAAGATACTTTCGAAAAAGTCTCTTTCAAAAAAGAGCATCTAGACTACAACCAGTACTTTTGAAAAAGCAAGCTGCTTTTTCGAAAGAGAGCACCCAGGCCGTCTGGATGCTCTCTTTCGAAAAAGCACAGTTTGTATTACATAGCGCCTTTTTTCAAAAGAGCACTTTCAAAAAAGGCATTCTTCCTCATAAAACGAGGTTTTCTGCGGTCAAAAAAACTGCCGCATTCTTTCGATTTACTTTTGAAAGAAGGCAGCAGCAGTCTAGATGCAGGGGAAGTTTTTTCGAAAAAAGGCCACTTTTTAAAAAAAAAAAACTGTAGTCTAGACACGCCCTAAGTAGGCTAAGGAAGTGCACTCACATTTTGGGCACTCACATTTGGACTCAAGAAAACCGTAAAACTCACTCATTTTATCTGTAACTGAGCTTTAGAGATACTGCTGACATTAACTTAGGCCCTAGCTTTGTGGCCTGCTGTCACGACTATTCTGTCTGACTCCTTATCAGAGTTGCAGGTGGTACATAATGGCAAGTCTGACAGCAGAAAGGATATACTTAATACTACTGCTAATAACCATAAGGGCACGCCTGCATGTGACCATGGCATGAGTCGTGGCACATGTAGGGACAGCTGGCAATGAACTGGCTGACAAAGAGGCAAAAAATGCTGTTAAGCACAAGCAAGTTCACATGAAGATCGCCCTTAAGCAAACAGGAATTTAAACATTTAATCAAAAATGAATTAAGGGAGGAATGGAAAGAACTGTGGGCACATGATGGAGCCCTGATAGAAGGGCAGGATTTGGACTCTACCATGGAGAGAGTCAGGGCTGGCCTTACCATGAGGCGAACTGAGGCGGCTGCCTCAGGTGCCAGACTAGGACCCAAAGTGTAGAAAATTGTGTCTGCTGCTGGTGCATATGTATTCTCTCTGCAGTACCATCAGAGGAGTAGAACAGGAAGAAGGCAGAATTGAGACCTTTCAAAGTTTTGGCCCAAGCGAGGGGACATAGGGATGTCATTTGAGCTCCCTGCCTCAGGTGTCAAAACGTTGTGGGCCAGCCCTGGAGAAAGTCTTAGGAAGTGCTCAGTGGAGGACAGAGTAGTGGAGAGAGATAAAGGGTGATTGACTGGAGTTTGTATACTTTCACTATGGGAATTTTATTAGGGGAACCAGAGAAGAGCCCTGAGAAATCCTGGGCCCTGAGAAGGGAGTGAGGACAAGGCCTAGACTTGGGGCTGAAGACCTTGTTAGAAAGGCAGTAGATTGTTTCTTTGTGTGACTCTGGTATCTCAGAAGGGAAGAGATTTTAAAGTGACCTGGCTAGAAGAAAGAGTTATTGGAAGAGACAGGCCACCAGTGACCTAGAGCCAAACACAGGGAGTATGAAGGAGTTTTGAAGACACTTGCCCCAAGCTTGGGAACTGAAAATCAAATCCTTTAACTTCTAAACTGTGCACATTCCCAGAACCCTGGCACCACAGGCATAGGCCTGACTTGTTAACCCACCAGGTGCTTGCTGGCCTATCCTATCATCCCATGCTCATCCTGCTCTGGTTTTGTCCTTACTTCAGTCCCTGAGCCTGGGAGAAAGTTCTTGACTGTGATAGTCCGTCCCAGCGCAGGGAAAGGAGCCTCCATGACACTTCTCATGAGGGGCTGCACCAAAGCTGGGGAAATCCCACGTCTTTTCTCAACCTCATCCAAGATCTGGAAGAAACAACATGAAACCACAGATGTATAAACAGGAGAGAAGAAGAGAGAATAGAACAGAAAGGCATTTACATTCCCTCCTTAATTGGGGAGGGATAGCTCAGTGGTTTGAGCATTGGCCTGCTAAATCCAAAATTATGAGTTCAATCCTTGCAGTGGTCATTTGGGGCAAAAATTTGTCAAGGAAGGTACTTGGTCCTGCTGTGAAGGCAGGGGACTGGACTTGATGACTTTTCAAGGTCCCTTCCAGTTCTAGCCGATAGGCAATCTCATTTAATTTAACCTAGTATATGTGGAGGCCACCAACATGCAGTATGGTATTATGACGGAGTGAGAGATACTAGCATAGAAACCTTGGGTGATACCCTAGCTCCATTCAAGTAAATGGGAAAACTCCCATTGACTTTAGTAGCACCAGGATTTCACCTTTACCTTGGACTTTCTTTGCTCTAGTACTTTTATTAAAGGGACAAGCCAATGTTTGCTGGTCCATATTTCTATGTAGTTTTCTTTGGAAATAATACAATTGCAAAGTGTGTGTAATTAGCGTGTGCTCCTTCTCCCAACACTATTTACAAGTCCCTCAAGTCTGAGCCCTTCACTTAACTCAACCTCATTCTTCTTTTTGTTTTGTTCTTCATTTTGTTTCCCTTCTGCCCACAGCCCGGGTTCTCTCCTCCTTTCCCCCGCTCACCTTCGAAAAGAGGTTGAAGCATCCAAGGCGGCTCACGATGCAGTAAACTTCGGGGAGACGCTTCCCTTTCCCACTGGGCTTTCAAGAGAGAAACACAAATGTACCCAAAACAAGGTAGTTAGTACAACAGAGGCAGAGAGCAAGCGACTGTATTCTCTGCACCTGCTGCTGTGCTTGGGACCGGATCGCTCCTGGACTGGCTGGTGAAACAAGGGGAACTTCCATTGTGCAAGCAAACACTAGTATGAGAGTGAGGGGGGTAGCCAAGGGCCCTGTGGGGAGGGTGGGGGGCATAAGGGCCCTTTGGGACCAGCCGGGGGAGTGTATTTTGGAGTGAGGTTATGGATTCTGAAGAGGAACCTTAAACTGAGCAACCTAGTGCTAGAGAGCCCCCTCTGCCATGCCTTTTCTGCTTCACTGAATAGAACATCCGAAGCCTCCCCCTTTCCAGTTAGTGCCAGAAATACAAACACCACAGAGGGTGGCTTCCCCCATGGACCCTGTTAGGGAACAGAATGGTGAATAATTACCAGTAGCCTTCTGCAATATCCAAACCGTCTACTCCCATCCTCACCAGTCAGGACAAAGGAGAAGGTCTCGCTGCAGTAGGAAGACCAGAGAACAGAAGAAAACTTGTCACATTAGGAATCAGACTGTACACAATCCCACGCTGCTGCCACCCAGAGAACACTTTACTCTTTTCATATCTGATATCTCCACCTTTCCCCTCTCATCCTCTCCAGTCTGTTCCCTTCTGGACTCTCCAGGAGAGTCTCTGTCCCCACTGGGTTTCTCTCTCTCTGCCTTCACAGTTCCCATGGTGAAGTGAATTGTACCTTGGGGGGGGGGGGGGAAGAGGAGGGCACCTCCTACCTGGCAAATTGGTAGATGGGTGCCCAGTCCTTAGCATCAGGAAAGCAAAACTGGGGAATGGCTTTCAACTGATCCTCTGCCTCTCGCATGAATTTAAAGGAACGCTCGAGCTAATGGAGGAAAGGAGAGAATGTTTTCAATTAGTCACGTGCAGATGGAACAGCTTCAAATATCTGTCCTGTGATAAATGAAGAGTTGGTGACAGAGACTAAGCTTCTGCCTGGAAGATATTAACATTGCTGCTCTGCTAGCTCACCTGACCTTCGGATTCTCCCCAGAATTCCCTTCACACCCACCCCACTAAACCCTACTTTCACATTTGTTTGTCCCTGCTGGGTCTCACTTCCCTCCTGTGAAACAGCTAAGAGCTTGGCAAAGGGAGGAGGCTATCCATGTGGGGACACGTGTGCAGGATAAGGCCTGCAGCAGATTCCTGTTACCCCATGCTGGAAAATGCATGGCCACGTGTTTTTATTGGGTCCTGCTTTTCATGCCTCATCCCAAGAAAGACCTATTGGAAATAACTTTGCTCTCCCTGCAGTGACAGTTTTTGGCACCCTGAGAATAAGAATCAGTGGCCTTCTGCAGCAATACCAAGTTGCTTCCCTTTTTTTGTGGAGGAAGACTTTTCACATGCTTTCTCCTAGGGCAGTGGAGGATCAAATTAGCTGCTCCATCTGCATTCGAGAACATCATGAAGTTCAAGGAGGGCAGGTCAACCGCCAAATCCTCCATCCTATTAAGCAAGGGCACAGCAGGAGGTTAACTTGCACTACATTATGGCTAAGGCGAGAGCTCTAACTTCCTCGAGGGTCTCCTGTTTAGCCATAAATCCTGCAGGATGCTAGCCAGGAGGGTGACGGATTCCACATGGGGACGAACAGCCTAAACGATGAACTGCTACACCAGTAGGCCTGGCACCAAACCTTTAATGGAAACTGTTGGGTGACTTCTGGGACATATGCAGCCCCAGCCTGTTTCTTGTGCAGTGATACCACGACGAAGTATTCAAACAGCTGCCTCTCTTGGTACTCGATCAAGTCCCGCTCCAAGGTTTGGTACCGGGGGGCTTGCTTCAGGCGGGACTTCACATGCACGAGCCGCTGGCTGTGAGCTACAACGAGAGAACCATTTGACACTGGAATTGGCACAGAGCTCCCGCCAGGCTTTGGAAAGACCTACTGGGAGCTCCCTGTGACTGTAGAGCATTTCCGTTTCCAAGGGCTGAGTGAGAGGCAGAAACATTTGGAAGCTGCGCTCTACAGCTTCCAAGGGACAGCTGTAATGGCTGAGGCAGAATGTAATCCAAGCATTGGCATAGCACTGGCCAAAAGGCCATGGAAGGAGCGGACAAATTTGCAGGGGTCCAAATTGTAGCCCATGGGGTCTAGGTGGCACAGTGATTTAATGGGCAGGCCTTTCAGCTGGAGAGACCCCCCACTGAATTCTGGGGGTGGGAGGCTATCAGGTGAAAGAGAGAGTTGCTGGGGTCATCAGTGTCCTGTGACTGATGGACAGAACACTGGCAGCACCTGAAGCCCAGAACGAGAGTTGCTGGGGAAAGTGCAGGTCAGAACACGGTCAGATATAGAGGGGTGATGGGGGAAGCTAAAGGCTAGAAGTGAAATGCATTGGCAGAAGGATGAGAGAAAACAGTTGTCTGGTGCCAGCCCATACTAGGCCTGAAGCTAATCAGAGCTCAAATTACTTTTATCTTTTAAAACAAGGAAAAATAGCAAAACTGATCAGCAGCCTGAGGCTGCCACAAGGTACAAACTATGGGACAATAAACACTCCATTTGGGAAAGTCATAAATTGCCACCCACTGGGGAGAGACCAGACAAGATTCCCTTGGAACTTTTCCCCTTGCAGTTTTATAGCGAGGTTCAAAGTAAATCTCCAAAAGTCCCCCATCCTTCCCCCCGCAAAAGAAGGAAAGTGGCAATGAACCGCGAGATGAGAGTGCAGAACACTTCGTAGCCAGGCACCCTGTGCTGCTGGGTGGCATAGTGATGTCCCCACGTTTGACAGAGTCAACAGCCCATGATGCTGTACTGGAGCTGATCAGCGCTGAATAAAGTGAATGGAAACCAGAGCTCCGCCCAGGAAGCGGCAGCCCCTTGGAGACTTATGTGAATGTCTTGGGCCAGATCCTTGGCCCCTCATTTGGCTGCTTTGTGTTGCTCATAGATTCTAGCTGAACACAACTTAGAGCAGCCCTAAGTTACAGGAAATGAAACAATGTCTGGTCAGGACATGAGGGGACTGGAAATACAACTTACAATCACCTTTAATCCCCATCCCACATGCACTTATCAGGGCCTGGCTACAGATGGGGTTAAGGCCGCTTATTGTCTAAGGCTAAGCCTACACGGCCACTTTACTGCGCTGCAACATTGTGGCTCAGGGGTGTGAAAAAAAACACCCCCCAAGCGCAGCAAGTTACAGCGCTGTAAAACGCCAGTGTAAATGGATTCTCAGTGCTTTTAGCTACTCCCATCATGGAGATAGTTTACATAAAGCAATGGGGGATCTCTCTCCCAGCACTCTTGCCATGGCCATACTTTCACTTTAAAGCGCTTTAATTTTAGAATGTAGAATAGTGATAGAAATGTAGCCATATTAGTGGACAACACCTTAGGCAGGGATTCCCAAAAAGCACTGGCCTAAACCTGCTCCCCCTGAAGGTAACGGCAAGCAATTGTGCAACACGCCCTTTGGACTATGCTCATGTTGACACAATTGTCATTCTGCCTCTGACATCCTTCTTCACAAGCTTGTGATGTTTTACTTAACAAAATCTCCCTGAATAGCCTCAGTGTCCAAGACAACCCCCACAACAGTCAGTTCAGAAACTCCCATTGACTTCCCTAGGAGTTGTTTTGGGCTCTCACGTGGCTCAAAATGAGCTTTTCCTGTGGTTCTGTGGTCTTTGATTTCTCTCTTTTCAAAGTGGAAATGATTCTCTTCTCAGGAGAATCACGTGCAAGTTTATGAGTAACCATCTCTTGTGCATGTGGGGAAGGCAGACTTGTCTTACCTTTCAGTTTCTCTTCAGTGTCACTATCCGATTCACTGTTCTCATCTGTAGCTGCCAGGAAACATGGAATAAAGACTGTCTAAAAATAGTGCACTTCTTATGGATGGCAGAATAAATCCAGGCTTAGCCACTTCTAGAGGCAGAATATATTGCACACATAGGCTCTTTCTTCCCAGGGTTGCTCATAATAATGGAGTCTTAGCTCACTATTTCTGATACTGTTCTGTCCATTAGAGGGCATTCAGAAAAGAGCGATAATAGCAATTATCTGTATGAGCAGAAGGAAAAATCCAGAGCGTTTCAACTTTCATTCAGTTGATTGTATGGATATAACTGAGCACAACATTTGGATCTAACATGCTTATCTTGGCTACACAGAAACTTAATGGACAAGAGGAACAGTTAATTTCAGATCATATGTGTGATCCATCCTGTCCAGTATCCTGCCTTCAAAAGAATCCAGATCCAGATGCCTTAGATCAGGGGTGGGAAACCTAAGGCCTGGGGCCCAGATGCAGCCTGGACCCGGCCTGAGGCTTGGGTCTCCCCCACAGTACTGGGGAGCCCACGCTGGTGAGGGGTGGGTTTTGGGGTTGTTTTTTGTTTGTTTCTCACTTGTGTGCAGCCGCGGACTGATTTTATTGTGGATCAGTGACCACACCCAAAAAAGGTTCCCCACCCCTGCCTTAGAGGAAGGTGCAAGAAACCTCCCTCCCCCCATGGGGAATAATATGCCCCCATTAAGGTCTCCTCCTAATTCTTACAAGAGATTGTTATATCTACTACATATTTGAGAGAGCCTGTCTGTCTGTCTATCCACCCATCGATCTGTTTGTTCAAGAACTCCTCCTAAGCAGTAAGAGGTAGGACCACCAAATTTGGTCTACACCTTCCTCTTATCATAACTTACAGCAAGATAAGGGTTTGGTTGTGCCAGGAAAAATGGGATTGTGTCTCAGACAACCATATAGAAAAGAGACACACTCACCAGGCAGGGGAAAAGGGGCTGACTGGGGGTGCCCTCCACCTCATCCAGGACTGCCCCAGCCGTGAGCCTTCCACCCTCCAGGCACTTTATTCATACGGGAACATTGCTGATTGTTCCCCTTCATCAGGAAACAAGGGGAAAGTACATAGTTTGCTGCATTTCCCCATCTAGTCCTTTCACACTGAACTTGACAAAGCATTAGAAAACACACTGCACATCCCCAGCAGAACAAGCAAACCAGGCAGAACTCTCAAAAAGACTCAGCAGCAATATGCTTCAGCCATTGTTCATTCACCTTTCCCTGAATTGCTCTCCGTAGATTGGGACAGCCTCTTGACACGCTTCTTTCCCCTTCGGGCCTCATAAATGGCGTTGATTCTCAATACCAGCTGCTCAGCAATCAGGAGACAGAAAACAGGGTTACCACACTTCCCCCAGTAAGGGAGATGAAAATGTTATTGTTCCAGAGAGAATCTGCAGTTTCCTAATCCTGGCCAACAATCTTCTCATCACCACTGTACCCTAGAGGTTCCATAAACACTATGGCCCTGTCTACCCTTTGCTGACAATGAGTCCCCCTGGGTCTTTCCTGGACTAGTTCTTCCCACTCCAGGGGATTCAGAACAACAGATCACCAGTAAAGATTAAAGTGTTCTCAACACTTGTTACAGAAACCATGTTAAAGATCTACTTAGGATTCGAAAACCTACTTAGATTACCGAGAACCTTAATAAAAAATGCTATAGACACTTTATACATTTTCCACATGGGAGAAATCAGTGCTAACTGATGCCACTGTTACAATCAGCATTTTAAAAAGGACTTTTAGTTAGGGCTGTCAAGTGATTAAAAATGAATCCCGATTAATCACTGTTAAACGATAATATAATATCATTTATTTAAATAGTTTGGATGTTTTCTACCCTTTCAACTATTTTTATTTCAATTACAACACAGAATAGGAACTGTACAATACTCACTTTATTGATATTTTAAAATATGAAATGGATGCCTAACATGATACAAGATATAGCACTGATGGCATCTTGAGGAGGCAGAAGTGGAGGGGCCACATGAGGCAGAAACACCGTATGTTAGCAGATTAGCTTTGTTGCTATGCTAATCTATACATACCCATGAATTACTCTGGAGAAAAACCATCTCCAGATAATCCGTGTAATCAACAGTGACGAAGAGATGCCAGACTGACTTAGTACAAATTTGGTCAGAAATGCTTTAAACAAAACCCTTTAGGATAGACCATTTATTTCACATCTCAAGCTCTCTGTCCTGGTTCTCATGTTGGAGCCAACATCAATGTATATAGTAAATCTAATTCACCTGAACATAACACTATGCTCATCAATAAACTCAAACTCTTTCATTTCCCTGTCCGTAGCACATGAGAAAAATCTGCATCTCTTTTTTTTAACGCATGAACACAAACATTGTGAAGACCCAGGGGTACAACACAGGCATGCAAAATTAGATTTGTGCACATATAAACACCTGATCAAAAGACAAATACACATTTTTCCAAAGGAAGACTGTCTGGTCAGTAACACAGTTATAGCCTAGCACTGATAATCTCTGCCAGAGCTTTGCAGGAAAACTTACCATTTGTAAGCATTCAATACTTGGTTCATGCCTCACTTGAACACAACTGCTCCCTGATCTCAATCTAAAACAGTGTTATGATTTATGAAATCACAGTCAATCTTAAACAGGAAGTGTTGTTAAAGAAAACACCTGTGCCTACAGACAAACAAACAGGATTCTACATAGCTTGAGTTCCATCTTTGTTTCCTTTGTTTATGAGGGATCACACCCCAGCTTGGAACTCATACAGCACATTGAGACATCTAGGGGGTTGAACAACATCTTGAAAGAAAACATATATTACCAGGTAAGAACTATTGGATGCATGGCCCTTCATGGGATTCATTGCTCTCCACATCTCCCACTGAATATGGTTGGAAAAAGATGTAATGTTTGCAAAAAAAAAAAATCATCAATTTTCTGTCAACTTTTGAATTTCATCAAAAAATTTCAGTTGAAATTTCTAATAATGAAATTTTTTTACTTGTATTCCTTGCGATAATGTGGGATATATCAGATAGAAAAATACATTCTTTAGATCTTGTAGGGATCTTTGAACCCCTTTTCCCATGAGGAAAACATGTGGGATGTAGAAAATGTTCAGCACTAACAGTGAAAGGTTAAATCGTAGCCCAGAACTCTCCTCAATTTTATGGGCATGACATTGGAAATTGCACCAAAATCCATCCTTATCAATGTAACAACACGTGAGAAGCTGGGGAGAAAATGACATTACCTTGGGAATTTTCCGTCTCCTCTTGCCATTCTGAGAATCTCCCACAGAGAAGAAAGTATCATCTGGGCTGCTTGGAGTAGAGGGGGGGCTGATTTTAGAAGGGGACCCTGTTCCGTCACGGCTCAGTTTCCTTATGTCCAGCAGTTTGAAACTCCGCCGCTCTGAGTTTTGTCGAAAGAAAATGGGTTTGGAAAGCAACTGGGAGGAGAGACAGAATGGAGGAAAGGAAATAAATCAACACACCAATCCACATAGCTATACTTCACGAGAAAATATTGCGGCAACACTAATTTCAGTTAGGTAAGCTGGAGCACCTGGCTAGCACACTACTAGGCGTGGCTCACAAGTGCGCTTAGCAGCTTTTCACAGGCCCAAAAAGTTTTCATGGCTGTCACAATTTATACGGGACTATCCTGCAAGACAATTAAAGGGTCCCAACATTCCTTTCAGATCATACAGAATCTCAGAGATTTGCAACAAGGCCCCACACAACTTCCAAGACTTATGCAATCCTGTGGCTTTAAACAAAATAAAACTAACCAACCAATCCACCACAAACATGTGGGATAAGGAGCACTTGGCCAGTAGGAACAAGGGAACTCGCACACCAGATTAGAGAAAGGTGCAATGGATCAAAACAGGATTTTGTGCAAAACAAAACATGATAGCTAGTATCACACCCTTCTTGCACAAAAGCTTAATAGAACCCTGACAATTACAACCCTTTAAATCTTATCCTGGATTATTGAGTAAATTCCAGATGCATGCTTCTGGCATACTGCTTGGGAATTAACTCCAACGTAAGAAAAAATAAGAAACCATACCAAAGAACGAACATGGGAATTCTTGTTATTATGGCTTGTTATTGTTATTGTGCCTCCTCTCAACAGTAGCTAAAAGATAAAAAAGGTGAAAACTTGACCTCATTAAAATCAATAGCAAAACTCCACTGGCCTCAATGAGAGCAGAATTTCACCTAAAGAACAGGAGAGGCATCATGCTGGGTGAACCAAGGTACCTTGGTGGGCGTGCCAGGTACAGAAGAGGTGGGGGATGCTGGGAAAGTCAGGACACATTTTTTCCCCAGGCAGCGGCTGTTCATCTCAATGTCTTCATAAGGGTTTTCCTTTGATGGTGGATCTGCAGCAAAGAGCCACATGCTATATGTAAGAAACGCAGAAAATCCTTGAGGAATCCCACAAAATCTCTGCTAGGATCTTATTGCTTCCCCCGTAACTCCCACATCTAGTAGTTTAAAAAACTATTCACAAACATTCTTGCTATCCATTCTCTCTCCAGCTCTGCGCATACAACTGCTTACTGGATTGCATCCAAATCCTGACCATGATGTATCCAGCCACAGAATTATGCCACAGAAGCTAGAGATGGAAAAGACCCATTAAGTTCTCCAGTCCATTTCCCGGTCAATGGAGAAGTCATCAGGTTTTCCTATACAGTGGCCCATAATATTCCTTCTCTTTATTCTTCTGATTCCTGTTCTCTCCAAATTAAAGGTCAGTGCTTCACCTCAGTCCCACTTAAGCCTTTCAAATACCATTTAAGTGGGTCTTAATTGGTGCATAAGGCTCATGCTGCTAACTTGGGGTGCCTTGATTTGAAAGTGAGCTGAAGATACTCAGCCCCTTGGAAAGGTCAGGACCTAGGTGTCTCAATCTGGTCACCTAAAATCAGTGATGGAAAACGTAGGCCAAAGCGTCTGAATGGGCAGGCTATTTATTCTGAGCCTTCTCTTTCCCCGTGAATCCAATGGAAAGCCATTAATTCAAGTTCTCCTATTCTTGTACACACCTCTCTGAGATTGAATATAGGCATTCAGTAATGCATAAGGCAGGCACTGCAGTAGGGATGTTAAATTGAGATTAATTGAATAGTTGATGGAAATCCCATCGACTATTCAAATAGTTAATTAGTCTATAAGGGTGCCTCAAGAGGGCTCTTGCTACAGTTCAAAAGGGGAAGCCCCATAGGGAGCCTGGGGCCAGCAGGGGACTTCTACTAGCCCTGCGCTCCCTGCAGTGCCTGAGCCTTTGAAATATACAAGAGCCCCAGCAGAATCGCAGCTTCAGTCCCCGCCTGCGCCAATTCCCACTGTGCCTCCACCTCACCTGTGCCCCGCGGAGACAGTGCTGGGGGAACCAGCTTTTAAGCCGGCTCCTCCTAGCACCAGCTCCTGTTCCCCACCTTGATGCCTTTCTCTGATAGAGGCAGCAAGTGGAGGGAAGCGACTAGTCTCATCAAAGTCGACTAGTCGCTTACATCCCTACACTGCAGCTTAGCTTTGGATCTTGTATATGGTTTGTATTTCCTGTCTGACTGCACAACAGCCTGCCTTGCCAAAGGTCCAGGGGGGCACACCAGGGGTGTCATTAGGATTTATGAAGCCCTACACAGCCCTATTAAACTGGTGTCCCTATGCTCAAGGGCAGCTTCCGGGAGGAGAGGGATGAAGATTTTTTTAGAGCTGTGATTTTATAACCCTAAGCAAGACACTAATGAAATATTTTACAAACAAATTTTAAACTAAGCTCCTGTAGAGTGCAAATGAACAGAGTAAATTCAGAAACTGACAGTATATACACCGAGGGTTGGCAAGTGCCTGTTAAATGGCTTCATTACCACTTGAATGACTCTTTCACAGGTTCAAAGTTCTTCTAATAGGTCTGGCAGCCTTTTTCACTTCTAAGTTAATGAGCTCTGCTCCAGAGGAAGCAGAGCCACAGAACAGGGATAGGAAAAGGAGGGTGGCTGGCCATTAAGACCCAAGGGTGCCCTACACAGCTGTATATTCTGCATAGGGATAAGGATGGCCCTGGGGCACGCAGCTGAAGCCATCTTACAAGGACACAACACCACCAGACCTTTTGCACCTCTTCTTCTATGACACTGCATGAGTCTACAAGTGACCCATTGCCTGGACTCACCCAGGTGAGGGTGGTAAAAGTATTCATCTATCACAGAAATCTGCATGCAAATGTTCTGGAAGCACACACTGCCCCTGAAGCAGAGAACTTATTCTAGGTTTAGGGGACACTGCAGGTCTCCCTCCTCCTGCTGACACCTGAGCAACTTAGCTTTGTGGGGGCCCCCTCTGGCATGGGGCCCAGGCAACTGCCCTGATTGCTCCACCCTCCCCAACGCTGGCCCTCGCTTTTATAGGCAGAAAATCAGTTGTTGTGGAGACAGCTGTGCTGTGGAATTTTAATAGCACGGTGGGAGAGGGCATCCGAAAGAAAAAGGTTGAGAACACCTGCTCTAAGTGGCATACAAAAAAGGGGCAGTTCTAATCCTAATGGCTCCAGCGTGCATGTGTCTGTGGCTCATCACTAGCACCCTGTGGCAGAATGCCAGACTGAGCAATTGCAATCCCCGCACTCAGCATGCACGGTGGAGTTTTCTAGCAAGAGCTGTACATCCTTTATAAAGTCTCCCAGCCTGTGCTTTTATGCAATAGAAAATTGCAGCTTTGCTGGAACCATCCCTGTCAGCCCTCTCCTCCTCCGGATTCCATGGCTACCACACCAGGGCTGCAGGGGTCAGTTAAAGATCATTAACTCCAGGGCCAGCCAGGCAGAGCCTAAGCACACAGCAAGGAAACAAAAACCCTCTTGCTGACTATTATCTATAACCCTCCCTTGCCTCTAACCCTTTCAATCAAAATGTAGGGAGAACAGGGATTTCAGTATGGTACTGGAGTTCTTTGCAAGTTTGGGGAGAGAGGTGTGGCTGTTTAGAAACAGATCTGCCAGTGCTTTAACCCTGTAATGTGATCCCTGTTATTCCAGCTGGAAGGGGGACACTTCCACTATGGCTTTGCCCAGCAGCTGTTAGGGCATTCCCTGTCCTTTGGTCCCCAAACCAGCTGGGGAAAGAGGGCCCCTGAGGGCCCCTAATTCTTGCAAAAGGGACAGTTTTAAAATGTACAACTAAAGCTGATCTGTTCTGAGCAAGGAAAGGGCAGGGCACCTTCACCGTGTCCATAGCAAATCCCAAGGGGATGTGCATCCTTTGGGAGAGCGCTTTAGTCAAACAACACGAGAGTTTGCTAAGATCAAAATGGCAATGTCCTGCTGGTTCCTAAGAGCACGTGGCTCTCTCCCATCTCAAACAACATGACCCTCCCACCCCATGGGATACAGCACCACTGATTTCCTTCCTCATCAGCTAAACTCTGCCAGGAGGTCACTTAACTCTAGCACTTCAACAGCTAGACTCAGTGCTCCTCAGGGAAAGGTGTATGTTCTGCTCTATGTTCTGTAACAGACTGTCTCATTCCTAGTACTATGTAAAGAGTAGGATAATAAGATAACGTGCCTAAGAACGGCACTGATGGAGCTCAGCTGTCCCCAGCCTAATGCTGAAGGGAGAAATAAATCGCAGTGCTACAAACACAACCCCAGGGGTGGTAGGAGCCAGTGTTTGAATTTCATGGCCACTCATTCACACAATCTTTTTCTTCCTGCTGGCTGAAATTTTGTGTGTGCTGCACCTCAGTATGCTCTTGCCTAACAAATACATTGTCCTAGCTCAGCCCTTGGACTGTGACACATTTTCATCGATGGTCCCCCAGACTTTTTTTTAATTGCCCAGCCTCTCCCCAATCCTCTCTTGAAGTTCCTACCCAAAATGTCTTCATAGATGTTTTCCTCAGATAAAGTGCGTGTCAGGGCCAGCTTGGTCTGAGCGTACCAATCCACCCTGCCATTCTCGGACGACGACTGCAGCAAGTCTTCAAACTCATAAGACTTCCTGTGCCATTCAGGAGGGCAGAAGGAAAGAGGGAGAGAAATAGAATGGATAATGACAGAGACAGAGTTTACAAGTCCAATAACTCAGGATCATTCATGAGTCTCCAGCAAGTCACTCAGCCAGCAATATGCTGCTAGAGCCATCCCATACAATGTATGAAGCAATGTCAACACAACAATGAGTTTTTACCAGACTGGGACTAGTCCACAAATGTCAGGGTTGCAATGGTTTCTCTAGTGAATAATGATTCTAACACACTCTAAAGAACTAAAAAACACTATTGCTGCGTCTAGACTGGCAAGTTTTTCCGCAAAAGCAGGTGCTTTTGCAGAAAAACTTGCCAGCTGTCTACACTGGCCACTTGAATTTGCGCAAGAACACTGCCAATCTAATGTATGATCGTCAGTGTTCTTGTGCAAATACAATGACTCTCCCGCTTGGGAAAAAGCCCTCTTGCACAAATGCTTTTGCGCAAGAGGGCCAGTGTAGACAACTTAGAACCTTTTTGCGCAAAAAAGCCCCGATGGCGAAAATGGCGATCAGAGCTTTCTTGCGCAAAACCGCGTCTAGATTGGCATGGACGCTTTTCCGCAAAAAGTGCTTTTGCGCAAAAGTGTCCGTGCCAATCTAGACGCTATTTTCCGCAAATGATTTAACGGAAAAACTTTTCAGTTAAAAGCATTTGCAGAAAATCATGCCAGTCTAGACGCAGCCTCTGGGTCATAACCTGCAACACCTAGAACATGTTGGCACTGCAATCTGAAGTCAGCCATGTTTCACTACAATCTGAGATCTGACTGCAGCACGGGCAGACATATCTGTGCCTGCAGAGCTAAAAATAGCAGCACAGTCTTCAACATGAATTGTATAAGCACACAAAGGACTCTGGGTATCTACTCACACTAAGCCCATATTGTCCCAACAACACTGCTATTTTTAGCTCTGCTAGCACACGTAAAGCGAGTGCAGATATGATTGTAGAGTAGATATACCCTAAGAAGTGCCTTCCTCCACAAGCAGTACCAATGATTACTACTCAACACGAGTAACTGTTATAAAAAATCAGGCCCCATATGAATGGCGCAGGAGAGCAATGCACAGACATTGAATGATGAAAAGGGATAGGAGTGGAGCATCCTAGCCAGTCAAGCTTAGAGAGGTTTAAAGTCCTCTCCCAGTCTAAATGAAGTCAAGAATTTTTATTGTTAAGGTAGATCCACTGCAGATCATACACTCAAAAAGGAGAGTGCATTTTTAAGGCACATCTCTCCCCTCCTCAAATATTTGGATTTACAAAAACTGATTAAACAAGGAACAGATGTAAGCAGAAAGGGCAATTCTACCCTGAAAAGTGACACTGTGAAAATGGCATGGCAAGGTCCCAACCCCTTACCATCTCTCAAAGGCTCCTGATCAGCTGTGCTCATTCTGCAAGCAAAAAAAGAATTTGTATTGTCTGTAAACTGGCAACATCCCCAATTTATTCTGGGAGTGGCGCATCGAGGTGGAATAATTCCTTCTCACTCACTGCTACTAGTAATAGCATCTCCATGTCAAAGTCATTACACCCATGAGAACCTGCTGGCCTTTTCGCACAGGTGTAATGGAGCAGAATATATCCTGCAGGCTCATGATTACTGACATTGCTGAGAGGAAAGAAAACTGCTTCATTTCCAAAGCCCCAGGTGAATTCAGGGCGCGGTTAGTCAGAAAGACATCTTTTTTTACTGACGAAAGAGGCCGAGACACAATAAACATAGACGCCTCTTTTATGGAGGCCCTTTACAGGAGCAGAACTTTACATCACCCACAAGTGAATCAAGAACTGCTGAAGCAGCATTAGAGTAGTAAAGCTAGAATACCTGTGGTCAGCATTATTCTTATGTTTCCCGTTCCATAGTCTTCTGCTGACAGCTGATGGGGGAGGAGAAGAAGGCAGAGGAGGGGGAGGTATAGATGGCAGAGGGGGCAAGTTTCTCTTATTTCTAGCTGCCGGAATCCATCCCTCTTCCCCCTCATGTTTGAAAGTCCGCCTGGGCTTTGGAAGTGGGTTGATGAAGGGTTTCTTCTCTGGGACCCCTGGTTCCGTGTACACGTTCTCCATACTGCGATCCTTGCATTTCATTTGAGATGCTTTCACTTCTTCCAGAGTCCCAAAAATGGGCTCGCTGATTTCCATGTCTAAGCTGAGGAGCCTCTGACTGAGTTCAGCGCCACACACACCTTCCTGGTCCTCTGGGGAGGTCTGTGCCTCTTCTGCTTTCTCCTGCAGACTGTGTGGGGAATAATAAGTACCTGGCAGCTGTGGCTGCAGTTCTGCTGATCCTTCCTTCAAGGCCTGCTCCAATTTTTTGACCTGATTCAGTACTGACAGGTTCTCTTTCTGGACATCCCACTTACCCCCTTTCACCTCCTTGCATTTTCCAACACTGGAATCGAGCTCCTCTTCCTTTGCCTGCATTTCCACTTTCCTCTCTGTTCCCTGCCCCACGCCCTTTGATGCGCCCACTTTTCTTTCGTTCTCTTTGCCTGCCCCTTTGCAGTCCAACTCCCAGGTGATAAGCCTCTTGGTGTCTACTTTCTTAGGCCCCCAAACTTCCCCCCCGCTCATCTTCTGCACCACACAGGGCACCTTGTGCTCCTCTTTAACTCCTTGCTCTTCTTCCTTACGACTGCCCAGAGGAGAAGGTGTTTCCTTTTTCCCTTCCCATTCAGAAATCTTGTCTTTGATACTGAAGGGCTTATTCCTCAAACCAATTTTCCCAGGTGACTGTAAATTCTGAGTGCTTCCTATCTGCCTCCTTATGATGTTGCTGCTCTCCGTGACATTAAGATCCACCGATGGGTCGCTGATAGTCATTTTGGGACTCAGCATGTTCTGCCGAAAGCAGTCTAGCTTTGGATCCAGCATCAAGTTCTCCAGTGATTTCAATGGGCTTTTCACCACAGAGGAACCTTGTTGAGCTTTAGGTCCTAGACTAAGGGTGAACCTGGCACCTTCAGAAAAATTTTCACTTGAAGACCCAAACCAAAGTCTTTCTAATTCCTTCACGGTGTTTGTGTTATAGTAACTTGCAAGCTTGGTCCTGCACAGCAAAGACAAAAGAGAAGAAAAAAACCCTACTTTTGCGGATTTTCAGAGCACTTTGCAAAGCGGTAAGGCCTTGTCTGTGCTATAAAGATGGCACCAATGTAAGTAGATTAATTTTAAAACTATTTAGTTATATAGGTATGCCCCACTCCCTTAGGATAAACCAACCTAAATGCATTTACCCCTGTTTAGTTTAAATCTATAACCTGGATTAATGGAAATTGGGTGCAGTGTGTCTACACTAGGGGTTGGCACTGACACAACAATTACATTGATTTAATTACAATGGTGCAAAAACAGTGTGCAGGTCAATCCTAAATTTCATGCTAGTAGGTCACTGAGCATGTAAGCAAACCTAGCAGCCATTATGCACCCAGCCTTGGACATTAACATCTGTGGTACCGAAAGGAAGCGAGATATTAACCAGAACATCACTGGTCCCAAATCTCATGCTCCTTTAACTTCTGTCAATTACAGTGGGAGGATGGACTTTTGTGGAAGCTTTTGACACAGGGTGATGCCTCTAATGGGGTGGAACCCACCCTCCCCTTCCTTTCTCCCCCAGTCTAGTAGTGCACTGTGATATCATCATGGACTTACATCAGGGTGAGAGATTTAAACATGCAACCTGACAGCCTGGAGACACCAGCTGAGGCATACTGATGCTACAGGCACATTTTAGGATATGAGAGAGAGCACCAATGGAAAGTAATGGCTCCTTCTCCACCTCCCTCCCTTAGAAAAAAACCCAAGAATTTAGGACTTTTCACCTTTCAAGGGATTTGCAGACACCGTTTTCAGACTTGTTGCTTACGTCGGCTGCCTTGCTAGATGTCATCATGTCAGCACCTGGCATGGCGACAGGCCACCTATAGGGAGTCAAAGCAACACTTAAACCATTAGAGGTATCGTAACAGACTGACAATATCCTGTAGTATGCTGGCCAGTGTTTCTGGACTGAAGACAAACTATGCTGAATTAACAACAAGAAGCCTGGTGGCACTTTAAAGACTAATGAATTTATTAGGGCCTTAGGGCATAAGCTCTCATGAGCTACAACTCACTTCATCAAATGCTGAAGAAGAAAACATGAAATTAAACCTCAAGAAAATTAAATTAAACCTGATTGAATCAGAGTCCATATCTTGGGGATTCCAGTCTATTGAAAATGGCATTGAGTATTGTTACGAGCACCCTAAGGACCTTCTCCAGGAAGCGGGAGATGCTGATGTACTTACTCTGTTATCAGCCCTTTGAAGTGCCCCTCTACCCCAGCTGAGATATGCATATATTAGTTTTAATGGGATTCTCCAGGGACCAACAGGCAAAGCAACAGGTTTTGGGTAAATAGCCTGGTTTTAAATTGGCTGAGGACTTTCTTCCTCATCCAGCAAATGGCCAGGACTCCTGGTTCAAGCCTGGTGGTAGAGTGAAAAGAGAAGGCCTATGGAAGTACCATAAGACTGGGTAGTTTTTCCAAGCTGAAGCTCTGATGAACTTGTGCCCACAAATGAAACTCCTTGGATGGCATGTTGAAGTACTGCTCCTGTCAAGAGCCCTTATTAGGATAATATCTGGTAAGCTTATTGACACACGGGTAGGGCCTATTGTTTTTAACATGTTTTTTTGACAGTGCTTTTACCCTAATAATAACATAGGCTTGCACAAGAAGATTTGTGTGGTATCTGTAACCATGGACAATCACACTGTTAATCATCTCCAAAGAGAAAGCAGGCAGCTTGTCTTGGCTGGGAATATCAGTGATGGCAAAGAAATAGCTCAGTCAGAAGGGACAGGCAGATAGGGCTCCATCCAAAAAACAAAAAGGCTCCATCCAAAAAACAAAAACAAACAAAAAAAAATTAATGGAGATTACCTATCTCCTAGAACTGGAAGGGACCTTGAAAGGTTATTGAGTCCAGTCTGCTGCTTTCACAGCAGGACCAAGTATCATCCCTGATGAATTTTTGCCCCAAATCCCTAAATGGCTTCCAGAAGGATTGAACTCACAACCCTGGGTTTAGCAGGCCAATGCTCAGGTAACCACTGAGGAGCTGGAAAAGGCTGTTTGTGAGTACCCTTGGCTGGCCCCTTGAGGGGGAATAAGATGTAGTTCCCTGGACTGTGAGGTGTAACACTGTCTTTTCCAACAAGACAAACCTTCCCTGCCACTCTTCTCTCCAAGCACCCATGAAAAACCTACTCCTGGAAATCCAGTAGGATAATAGCAGCAAGTCACTGCAGATTCCTGCCTCAGTTTCTCCTTCTGCAAAATGATGATGATCATTTTTATCCACCTACCTCCCATGAATGCTGTGAGAGTTAAGTAATCGTCAGGAAATGGCCTATCTATGACTCTGGGTTTCTACAGTGCTCAGCATGGTGGGGCTCCTGTCTCAATTAGTCCCAAAGATACTGTCATTATTATAACTAGTCAATGGCTGTGCAGTGATTTGAACAGATGATGCACTACGTAAAAGCAAACCAATATTGTTATAAACACTTGGGTCCCTGTCTTCTCTCAGGAGTCAGTTAAAATGGCTTTGAAAATAATCTCTCTGATCAAGAGAATTAACAGCCCTATGGCTTATGAAGCTCTTGCTTCACTATATATTGGATTGATACCCAACCGAGACCCAGGTTTATTGATTAAACTACTGTAGGCCCCATAGCCACTCTGTGCTCAGGTTCCCGATTGCTTGATGTATTCTCACTCTAGAGGCTCCTTATAGAGTATTACTGATCACCCTTGTGGATTTAAGGGAGGAAATTCATCCCAGGAGTATATGCACGGAAACTGAGGGAGTTGGGAATGAAATGCATCCCTGGCCCAGGGTCTTCAAACTGCAGAATTTGTTTTGGTCACTGCTTACTATTCTTTACATGGTGATTTCTGTTCTTTGTGGGGCAAGAATGTCAGTCTGTTCGCTCGGAGCACCTTTTCAACACAGGCAATGCAACAGATTTTCTCCTTTTTATCTTGTCCTGAAATTCAACTCTGGCTCTTTAAGAGTCCAACCACCCCAGAAAGCAGTGTCAGGACTTTTCAGGAGGGCATTATCTGTAGCCTCTGGAAAGCATTTCAATGACAGGAAAGAGTTCATTGTCTCCTACACAATACTTTAAAACCCTGAAAGCCTCTGGAGTCTATCCACTTGGCTGGTCTATCTAATGCTCCCCTGTGATGGTTGGACTTTGGCAGCAAGACCAACTGCATCAGTGAAGGGCAATTCCTAGCCCTTTGGCACAAAAATGAGAGAGAGAGAGAGAGAGAGAGGGAGAGAGAGAGAGAGAGGCTCTGTCTAGACTGTAGGCTTTTTTCGGAAGAAGCTTTTCCGGAAGAGATCTTCCGAAAAAACTTCTTCCGAAAGAGCACATCCACACTGCGAAAGCACACCGAAAAATGATCTCCTTTTCCACAGATAGCATCCCCACTGCATGGACGCTACCTCGCATGTAAGCTGTGATTACTATGGGCAGAATGGCCACCAGGGCACCTGTGCTTTTTCCTCTTTCCTCTTCTTGTGAAAGAACTCCCTCTTCCCAGTCCACACACGCCTTTTCCAAAAGAGGTCTTTCAGAAAAAGGCTTCTTCACCATAGAAAGAGGTTTACCAATGTCGGAAAAAACCCTCTGTTCTTTCGATTTTTTTTTTGAAAGAACGCAATTGCAGTGTGGACATAATTGAAGTTTTTTTGGGAAAAAAAGCCGTTTTTCTGAAAAAACTCTGTAGTGTAGACATATCCACAGAGAAAGGGAGAGAGAGAGACAGAGAATTCAGTCTTGGTTCCTTTCTGAGTTTTCTTTCCCAGGCAATGTGTTCTGTAAGACCGAGTGAACTCTGGAGCTTCTCAGGGAATACAGAGTAGTAGTTTATTACAAACCACGTCCTCTTTTTCCCTAGGCAATAAGCCCCTCTGCTTCTCTCCTTGGTCAGCTGCTGGAACAAGACCCAATTCATTTCTAATGTCAGAGCAACTTTGCGAAATTATCAGGAAAACTGACCAGCTCAAGGAACAAAATCTATTCACCCACTCATTAGCTGTTATGTTTAAGGCTAATGAAAAACTATAGATCATTCGTTCCTCTGTCCACAGAATGACTTCCTCTGGCGAGTGGGAGAATAGATTTCTGCAAAGCTGTAACTGCACTTAGATTGTAAGCTCGTTGGGGTAGGAACTATCTCTTTGTTCCATGTTTGTTTGTATAGCACCTAGTACAATTAGTCTACCACAGGGACTCTGAGGAGCTACCACAATATAAATAACAGAGTCCAGGGTGTGGGGTATATATCCACTTAATTCAATCATCATTCTGCAGTTTCTCTTCCAGCAAGTTCTGATTTGAGGAGGTGGGGGGCTACATTCCCATTCCTGGCCCATGCAATCTCCCACCCAAAAACCAGACATTTTGCCAGCAGGGTCCCCTGTGGAAAATCAGGAGAAAGATGCCACTCACCCTCAACAGGGGTGGGGGAAATTGATGGGATCAACCAGGGGTGACTGGTGAGGAAGGACATATGGACATAAGGGGCACCAGCCAGGTGACCATCTCCCCCTACGTGACTCCTCTCCGCGCCATTGCTAGCCCAGGAGAGGACAGGGACAAGCCCCACCCCCCTCTGCTCCAAGACCTGCCCCTGCTCCACTCTCTCCCTACTTCTCCCCTGCCCTTGCTCCACTTCCCGTCATGCCTCTTCTCCCCAGTGCTCCCCCACACTCACCAACAGAAATGGGGACCAGGGAAGCACAGCAACGTGGCTGCAGTCCACTCCACTCCCCCAGCTACCGGCCGCATTGCTGCGCTTCCCGCCGGTGAGTGTGAGGGGGTGGTCCCTCCTCTCCCCTGAGTGATGCAATTGGCAGCCGGGGGAGCGGAGCCACCCTGCTCTGATTCACCACCACCACCCCGATACTGCTGCTGGTGAGTGGAAAGGGCTGGCCTGTGCTGTGGGTGCCAGGCTCCCCACTAGTTCCCTGGGCCACCCAGAGGCTTTGGCCCCTTGCCCCTCCCACCTATGGCATTTGGGTTACCACCTGCCCCTTTACCTCGCCCTCCTCCCCCATGCAGCACCCTGGGGCTGACAGTAAAAGGGGGACATTCCCAGTAGCAAGGGACAGAGACATTTGCCAAGGGACAACAGGTAGCTCTTCCCATGGGAGTTGCTAGCAGCCACTGGCCAGCTCGGGGGAAGAGCTGCTGATTGGCCAGTATTCCCCAGCTCCCAGGATTTAGCCCAGTATAGGGGCCACATGGAGCCACTTTTGGCTCCATTCTATCAGATCACCCTGCCCAGCTGAACAAGCAACATCTGGACTGACAGATGTTGCAGGTCTAGCCTGTGTAGGGGGTCAGGAAAGATTTTTTACTCCCATGGGCCATTGCCAGAGGACCAGGGAGTTGTTTTCCTTCCTCACAGCACCTGCAAGGTGTTTTGCATGTAACTGAGGTACTGGGATGGTGCTGCTTACTTGCCGAAACATGTGGCCGGTTTCCAGTGTGGTAAAGAGAATAAAATGAAAGGCTCCCAGAGGTGAATGGCCTGGGATTTTGAAGATGGGTATTGGGCTCATATGGTAGGGTGATACCTTGCGGTCTTTGTGGGCCAAAGTCAGATCTTGTAGCCCTCACAGGCTAATGTCTCCACCACGCAGCACCATCTATCCCCCTCGGGAGTCCGGGGGGGAGCGCTGCACATTTTGGGTTATATGGTAAAGAGCCCTGTAACTCCCGCACTGGGCCCGGTTGCTGAGTGTGTCGTAGGGTTGCCAGGTGTCTGGTATTTTCGCTTCCTGGCAGGGGAAAAGAAATCAGAAAAATACCGGACATTGTAGGTGTCTGGTATTTTCTGATTTTTTTTTTTTTTTTTTACCAGACAGAAGGCAAAAATACTGGATTGTCCGGGTCAATACCGGACACCCGGCAACCCTACGAGTGCTAGGTTGCAGCGTTTTCGGTTGGCACCCAACCAAAGAGCCTGATTGGGTGGTATGGTGGGGACTGCACTTGTCCAGCTGCCAGATCCCATGAGTTGTCGATAGAGGCAGGGACTGCACTGTCAGCTGCCCAGGCAACGGAGCTGGAGCCTGGGTGCGCTGTGGCTACGCAGCCCAAAGTTCTGGCAGCATCCAGAGCCCCGATCAGAGCCAGCCAGTGTCTTACCAGAGCACCACAGTGGGGCACCCTTGGCAGAGACCTAAGGAGGCTCACAGTAAGCAGTAAGAAGAGAAAGTTATATTAATTATTTCCACCATGGAAGATCTACTCCGTCTGACATCTGCAGTGCTCTTGTTCTTATTAGATGCAGCCAGTGGATTCTGGCAAGTTCCTGCCTCTGCTGGCCGTGACTGGCTGGCGAGGTTTGGAATGAAAAATATCACTTACATCACCTTACAGCCACCAACACCAACACCCCAGAAATCTTCCAAAGGAAAACGAGCAAAACTTCATTAGACCTACAGGGAGTTACATGGATGACAACTGCATTTAGGGGGCGTCTGAGGAAGAACAAACACATTGATGACTTGTCCCACTTCACCAGCAGCACGAGGATTACTTTCTTTATAAAACAAACCTCAAAGGAGATCATGTCACGAGTAAGACCACGGAGGACAGGGCACAGGGGCATTCTATTTCTCTGTGAACTGAGACACCAGGATATCATGGCCCATAAATTGACAAAAGGGGAGGCAAGATATGCACTCAGGAATCCTTGCCATTGTTTGGGGGAACAACACAGCTATCTGATACCATTTCATAATGAATCAGGGAAAGGAATACCAGCAGGAGGAGGGGAAGATAGAAGGGGGAAGATGTTCTCAAACCTGTTGACTGGACTGTGGGAAGGAAGCAAAGTCTCAGAAGAGAAGGCTTTCCACATATCTCCCACACACACATGGCCTTACGATTCCCAGGGTCATGTGATAGGGACTTCCTGCTACCAGGCAGAGTGAGACCCGCCCTGACCTCTCTCTTCCAGAGTTCCTGCCTGCTTTGTGTTTGCGAAGAGGCGTTTGTTTACTGATCTATCATTGGCATGCAGGAAACGGCCTGGAAATGAGCTGTAATCATCTGTCACCAGCAGTAGCTGTTTGGTTTTCTTCTAATTTTAAGTTTTCCTTTCTCCCCAACCTCCCACTCAAAATACAGTAGTAAAATAAAGCACATGCTTCTCTTTATGGATGCTGGGGAAGCCAGGGCTTAGCATTTCGAAAAGGACTAGTTATTTCAAGTGCCTGACTTGAAATATCTTAACGGGGCAAGGCGGTGTGTGTAATTTTCACAAAGTGCCGAGTACTCGCCCCCTGAAAAATTAGGGCCCTTGAAGCAGTCAAGAATCAGGCTCACCCAAAAAGGTCCCCCAGTTTCACTGGCAGCTTTTGAAAATCTAGCCACATAGTATATAGAAACAAGTAACAATTATCTTAGTTGGCATGGGCTTTTCCCCAGCCTCACCTCCTTTCAAGCCAGCAGCAAGCAATACTGACAATGAACCACTGAGAGACGTATGTATGTGTTGGGGGCTCATTGGTGGGGATGATAAGCTAAGGACTGGAGAGAAAAACTGGCTTACTACACATTCTCTTTCCTTGCCATCCCATACCAACCATGGCAAGGTTCCCTTTTGCAAGACAAAGGTAGTAGGATAGGTAGGAGAATTGCTTTTGGATCTTGGTTCCAATTCAGATCACAAGGCTAAAAGCCATCATCACTTGTTCAGTTGCCGACATGCAATAGTTTCACCCAATTCCACTGAATAACTTTACATCCCAAAACACCACAAGTATTGTCTACATTACTGGTAGACTGCATTAAGGGAGCCTGGACTGAGTTGTCATGGAGACTAAGCAACTCTCTTATCCCTAAAGCAAAGAGAAATGTTTCAGAGGAAAATGAGCAAAACTTATTATGGAAAAGGGTGTTAATTATAGAGAAGACCTGATGTTAATTGACCCAGTCTGCAATCAGAGTAGGTATTCACTTGCTGCAGCTTTCTAAACACGTTCCCGAAAGCTAAGCTGCAGAACGGTTCTAATTAGGCAAGACATGGAAGAACCAAACGTTAAACGGTTTAATCACTGTATCTAATGAAGTCACAACGTTTCTATTCACAAACATGACCAAGTAACCACAGTAACCCTTTCAGGACTCCCTCTTTGCTACACTGGTTATGGTGCTATAAAGAAAGCACCTCCCACATACAGCTTTGTGGTTTTAGAGATGTTCACTGTATAAGGAACCTTAGCCATTTGTAACCTTGAACGGAGTGCCAGCCACACACATGCCAGAGGCAATATCTCAGATCACCAGTTTTGGGGGTTGGGGCAGAGGCTGTTCTTTGTGTTCTGAATTTTGTACAGCACTTAGCAAAATGGGATTGTGGTCCAGGACTGGGCTCTTGGGCACTATGGTCATACAAATAATAAATACTATCTCACATCATTGGAATGACACCACAGTTCCTACCAGTTTGTAGAAAGTCTTGTCCAAAGAGGGGAAAGACCTAAAGAATTTAGGAGAGACCGTCCCCAGCTTCTCATCTAAGATGCCCACAAAAAAGGTTCCATCTGCCCATTCATTTCCATTTGAAGACACCTGAACCACATCACTTTCTTATTCAGGACCATAAGACTCAACAACAATAGACAGCATGTATTATATAGGGCTTTCAAACTTCAGAGTGCTTTCTAGTGCAAATACAACATACGAAAGGCAACGCCCAGCAGACAACAATATATATAGAAGAGGAAGGATGCCAAGAAGACAAAAATACTAACAGGAAGATGGGGAGCAGGGCTGAGCCGACAGTTAGGAACTTGAATTCAAACCCCTTCCACTCCACCCTGAACTCTGTTTAGAGACTATTTCCCTGTAGGGGAAAAAGAAATCTCACACACACAGCCCTCTGCCGGGCCTGCGTGCAGGTTCTCAGTGGCCAAATGAGTCTCCTTGTTATGTATGGATAGGTCGGAGAATTTATTTCCTTTGGGATCTCAAACAGCAGCTCGACCTAGATTGTGTCAAATCACAGAGAAACAGAGAGGAAGTCTCTAGGGTAGGGATATACGCTCTCCCTTAGCAGAACCTGGAGAGAAGAAGGAGAAAGAACATTATGGGGCAGGAGCTCTCAGTGGGTAAGAAATGTTGACTCCAGGGGCCAATGCTGCCCTGCTATGGTGCAAAGCACAGTTAATAATCTCGGTCACAAAGATATACCCGGAGAGAAATATTTTTTCCTCGATGGCAGGATATTTATGGTCTGATCCAAAGCTTATTGAATTATAAGGTAAAAGTTTCATTGATCACAATGGGCTTTGATCAGGCCCATCATCAGCAATAACCAGGGCTCGACAACTAAGAGTAGACTGTAACCCGGAAGAGCCGGGTTCGGGCGATCCGAGCATGTGCACAATGATCTGCATGTGCGCGGATCGCCAGACAGCGCAGCTGGCAAGCAAGGCTCGCCGCGGTTCGGCGAGCCCTGGCAATAACTGATCCTCAGAACTACACAGAAGGGACTTCTCTGAGCCGCCTTCATTTCCTTCCCTCACCCATTCAGCCTTGCAGGCCTGATGCTGTGGTAACCCTTCATACCTGCAAGCTGTAGAAACCTACAGTACTCTTCTAAGCTTTGGTGCAATGCATTTACTTGAGAGCAGTTCAAAGCATTCATCTCCTTTCAGCATCTGAATGTGCCAGCAGCATAGCACTCCTGGCTTCTGCTGACCAAGTCGATCCAAAAACCCACAGCAGAACTCCCGTTATTACATTGCAGCAGAAATCTTAAGTGTGGATTTCTAATTCCAAGTCTCACCCATAAAAAATGAGTTTATTTATGAGTGAATTTGTGCAACAGGTGTCCCTAAAGTGTCACATGGATACGCTCCATTTGAAGCACCTGGGCTAGAAACTGGATTATCATTAGAGATCCTGCAAGGTCTTTTTCCATTGGTATAAAGCTTTTGTTCACCTCTAGAGCTGTAGCCCATGAGGCTAGCTTGCCTTTATTATACAGCGTGTCCCTGCTATAAGTCGCCCCGTATACAACCGTTCCACACTAAAGTCATTGACACTCACAGGAACTGATGCATTATAAGTCCTCACATTCCCCACTCTTAAGTCACACACCAAAAAAAAATTGTGCAAATGGAAGTCAGCTGCGGGGAAAAAAATTCCCTGCTTTGTTTCACTATAAGTCTGAGGTTTTTGGAACATATCTTGGACTGACAGTGAGAATGGCCTGTATTCACTACCTTGCCTTCATTACATTCTGTCTTTATTGTATTGAGTAGTAACCTACAGGCCTGTATCCAGTGAAACATTGGCTTCAGCAGTTATTATGAAGTTTGATGCCTATGAACTTTGGCACATATGAACGACTCAGCAGTAACCCCTGAACTGGAAATAGAGTGTAATGGGGAATTTTGTCCATAATGACATCAGCCAACCACAAAAACATGAGCTAACACCAGCTTTTGGAAAGTTGGATAATACATCTAACCACAAGAATGTCATGGCAATACATTGGCATATGTGATAGTAAGTTGAAATACTTAATATTCTAATCTATAAAAGAAGACAGCTCATCATTAGTAGAATGAGGAAATACAAATAAGGAAGAGGGGGGAAACTGCTACTGAATATGCATTTGATATAATAGCATCAACTCAACATGTAAAAGTTGCACCCTAGCCTGTGGGCAGTGGGAGAGAGAGATGTAGCTCTTGGGAGGTGCCCATGTGATGGCCGCCGGCATCGAGGAGGAAGGTGATGGTGATGAGGAAGACAATGGGTAACATCTCAGGTTGTCCTGACGGGGACGTTGTGGTTATATGGATGTTCAAATATGCATTCTGTCATCTCTCTATCTATCTCACTGAGGGTAGGTCTGGACTGCGTCCCTCTGTCGGCAGAGGGATGCAGATTAGGCAGGTCGACATTGCAAATGAGGCAGGGATTTAAATATCCCGTGCCTAATTTTATAAAAATGGCCACCGTTTTTGCCGACTCAGCACTTTGTCGGCAAAAAGCAGCAGTCTAGAAGGGAATCTGTCAAGAAAGAAAGCCTTTTTTGACAGATCCCTTATGCCTCCTGCAAGGAGGTTTACAGGTTCTGTCGAAAAACGCTTTCTTTCTCGACAGATCCCCCTCTAGACTGCCACTTTTTGCCGACAAAGTGCTGAGTCGGCATAAATGGCGGCCATATTTATGCAGATTAGCCACGGGATATTTAAATCCCTGCTTCATTTGCAATGTCGACCTGCCTAATCTGCATCCCTCTGCCGAAAGAGATATGCAGTCTAGAAATACCCTGAGTTAGGGTATGTCTGTACTACAAACTTAATTTGAACTAACAGCAGTTAGTTCGAATTAACTTTAATAGCGGCTATACATACAAACCGCTAGATCAAATTTAAATCGAACTAGCAGAGCGCTTAATTTGAACTAGGTAAACTTCATTCTACAAGGACTAACGCCTAGTTCGAATTAAGTAGTTCGAATTAAGGGCTGTGTAGTCACTTAATTCGAACTAGTGGGAGGCTAGCCCTCCCCAGCTTGCCCTGGTGGCCACTCTGGGCCAAACCAGGGAAACTTCTCTGCCCCTCTCCAGGCCCTGGAGCCCTTAAAGGGCCACGGTCTGGCTACTTGTGCTTGTGCCAGTTGCAAGCCTGCCAGCACCCAGCCCGCAGACCCTACACCTGGCACAGCATGAACCAGCCACCCGCTGGCACCCAGCCCTCCGCCTCTTCCCGGGACCAGGCTGGCAGCTCCCAGGAGCCTGCTCGGGGCCGCACGAGGCGC